TGTGTGCCTTGCCTGACACCGGACCCACCTGAGCTCCCCATCACCAAACGACTTTTTTTCAACCTCGCCAAATGACTACATCCTCACATACTTGCTCACGCCCGCTTGTGACGCGCCCGCTCAAGCCCAAGTGCCTGTCATGACGGTCCCCGGACGCTCTTTTTAACATTTATTCCTTCGCCTTCTTTTCAGCTCTCATGGAATCATGGGGCATTCTGCAACGCAACTCTCCACTATTAGCTCTTCACTTCAAACCTCGTCGTCGCGACATTTGCATTAGATTTCTTACCTGCTGCCCAACAGCCGCCGTACCCCGACGATCGAATCTACCTACTACACGCTTTCCGCCGCTCTTCCCCGCGAGGTTTGCCCGTCTCGGCTCGACTTTGGTGGCCAGACAACTGGCCAAGGGAAACCGCCAGCAGGACCCCACAACCATGACGACGACGGTCGAGCTGGCCACGGTGCCAACGGCCGATACGCCGGGAACATGTATTTATGTGCACCACGAGAAGCGCTCCTACGTCTTTGGCCATTTGGCCGAGGGCACGCAGCGCGCCTTTTCGTGTCGCAAGCTGCACCTCGGCAGCACCGAGCACGTCTTCCTCTCGGGTGCCGTCGGCTGGTCGCAAATGGGCGGCCTAATTGGCTACCTCTTGAGCATTGGCGGCGCTTTTGACGCGGCCAAGGAATTTCGCGCCACAGAGAACTCGAAGCGCGCCGAAAAGGGACAGAAGATGTTGCGTCAGCTCCGAAATGAGGGCGTGACAGTCCACGGCGCAGACAACCTGTGCCACATTCTCGCCTCGGCCCGCCCCGTCATTTTTCGCCAGCCCGTCTCCGTGCGTGCCATGGAACACAGGGAAGACCCGCGTGGCGCTGACGCGGCGCTGACGGCACCGGACTGGGAGGACGAGTCGATTCGCGTGTGGAAGATACCAGTGCCGAGGGCGCGCTCCAGCAGCCCAACCAAGCGCCGATGCAGCGGCAGTGCGACAAGTAATGGGAGCAGCAAAGACATGTACAAGCCGGCCTCGGAGCCATCAGACCCCTCTGTGGCAGCGTTGATCATGGAAAGGATCATGTTCACCGGTAGCCACGATAAAATCGTCATGGTTCCTAGGAGCATTGACGAGCTGAAACCAGACGACGACGCAATCATATTAGATGGCAATAGTCTGCGGCGTTATAAGGGCCCTTTTGTCAGCAGCGGAGCCAAGGCGTGGGTGTTCCCTGATGCCGACTCTGCGCCGCCCAAGGGAGACGCGGATGCCATCAACGCTATTTCAAACGGCGCACTGCCGCCGACGTCGTACTCGGGGACATCAATGAGCTACATCATGAAGTGTCAAGACCGACGAGGCAAGTTCAACGCCCAGGCAGCAAAGGAACTCGGTGTAAAGCCCCAAAGTTTCAAGCTTTTGACGGCTGGTGAAACGGTCACGACAGAGAGCGGCACTATCGTCACTCCCGACATGGTGCTTGGAGAGCGCCAGCTCGGCAAGGGTATAGCTGTCGCAGACATTGCCAGCCTCGACTTCCTCGACGCCTTCTTTGAGCGTCCGGAGTGGACAAATGCCGAAATCATGTCAGAAATAACCTCCATGTACTGGATCCTGGGCGACGGGCTTGCCTCGAATCCCAAAATCCATCAATACATCAAGACGCACCCAAACATGAAGCATATTCTATGTTCCCCCGGCACATGCCCCAACATGGTTAGCAATGCCAGCTCTGCCGAGATGCTCGCCAAGCTGCGCCGCATCGATCCCGAACGGTTCCCCTTTGTCTCGTTTGACAACACCGTCGACTACCAAACCCCCGACGATGCTCCGTCCATTGAGCTTGGCCGAGCCGGCCACAAGGTCCAAATCATGCCGCGCCTGTTTTACAAGGACGAGGCCGTGGCGCCGTTCCCCGACCTGCAGCTGGCCTACAACTCTGTCGACGAGGAGACCTTGGCGCTCGCGCAAGAAGCCAACGCCAAAGCCACCGACCCGGCCTTCCTCGCGCGCATCGAGCGCCAAGAAGCCGACATTCCCAACCGCGACGCCGAAATCATCCCCCTCGGCACCGGCTCCAGCGTGCCCAACAAGCACCGCAACGTGTCCGGCACGCTGCTCCTCGTCCCCGGCATCGGCAACTACCTCCTCGACTGCGGCGAGGGCACGCTCGGCCAGATCAAGCGTTTATTCGGCCCCGCGGGCACCGCCGCCGTCCTGCGCGACCTGCGCTGCATCGTCGTCAGCCACCTCCACGCCGACCACCACCTGGGCATGGCCACCACGATCAAGGCCTGGTACGAGCAGGCCCTCGCCGACCAGAGCGACGCGCTCCTCGCCATCAGCTGCATCGGCCGGTACCGCGCCGTCCTGCAGGAAATCGCCCAGGTCGAGGACATTGGCTTCCACCGGCTGCGCTTCCCGAGCTGCACCGGCGACCGCGGCGACCGCGACAAGACCACGGCCGAGGACCTGGCCGCCCTCGGCGCGCCCGACGCGTTCGGCCTGCGCGCCATCAAGCGCGTGCCCGTCGCGCACTGCTGGCGCGCCTACGCCACGGAGCTCACGCTCGTCTCGGGCCTCCGCGTCGCCTGGTCCGGCGACTGCCGCCCGTCGAGCCGCTTCGCGCAGGCCTGCCGCGGCGCGCACCTGCTGGTGCACGAGTGCACCTTTGGCGACGACATGCAGGACCACGCCCGCTACAAGATGCACAGCACCATGGGCGAGGCGCTCGGCGTGGCCCGCGAGATGCGCGCCCGCCGCACCCTGCTCACCCACTTTTCGCAGCGCTACGGCAAGGCCGACGCCCTGCAGCCGAGCGTCGACGGGCCCGACGACGCCGACAGGGAGCAGTCGGTCCTGCTCGCCCATGACTTGATGCGTGTGAAGCTGGGCGACTTTCAAAAGGCCGCGTGCTACATTCCGGCGATTGCGCAGGTCATGGCCAAGACGTCGGATACGTAGTCAACATGTTTGAATCACATTTCTTTTCGATTTCGATAGACTCTCTGCACACTCTGGTATATACCCCAATAGATTACGGAAGGTTGTGCATCTATCCCATATGCTGCAATGATAACAACTTTTCTACTATTTACACGTCTGTGACGAACTATCATCATTTCCTGCCACGTGAAACCTGCTTACAACAAATTCAATACACTCAATCACACTCTCTTCAAGTTTTACAATTGTTGGAACCAAGAAACCTCCAAACCCGTCTTGTCAAAATCTGCCATTACAGCGCCGCCCGTCGCCTTCGGCACAAGCCGTACCCCAGCAAAATGGTCGAAGTCATCGACTGCACGCTATCCCGCGGCGGCACGGGCGTCCGTCCGGCCGCCATGCGCACTGGGACTGGTATGCCGCTCCGAGGCCGCGTGCGCAGCGGCGGTGGGCGCAGCGACGCATCATCATTCCCCCCGTCGTTGGGTTGCGTCGGCGCGGCATTTTCCATGGGATTGCTGCTAAACTCGGACGGCGTGGGCGGCGACACCGTGCCCGGTGCTGCTGCTGCTGCTGCTGGCATACCTCGTGTGAAGAGCGACGCTGCTGGCGAGCCGAGACTCGCCGTGTCCCCTCCGCCGCTGCTGCCGCGGTAGGCGTCGTAGATGGCGGCCAGCTCGGCCGAGGTGGAGGCGAGGGATGGTGATGATGATGGTTTGGCCAGCGCGGGCGGGTCGTAGTCGGCCGTGGCCCAGGGCGGCTCGGCCATGTTGGTGGTGGAGGCCTCGTTGTGGACAGAGGTGCGGACCGGAGGAGGAGCAGGTGGAGGCGGTGAAGAAGCTGCGGTGGCGCGGGGCACGTTGGTTTTCGCTCGGTTGGTGCTTCGCGACGGCTGCTGCTGCTGCTGCGGCTTGGACTGCTCTCCCGGGCGCCTCGCCGCCGCCGAGGACCTCTCCGGCCCCATAAAGGCGCTCGCCGGAAGATACTGCGAGTAGCCCTCCTTGGCGGGCGTCGACCTCTTGCACCTCTGCCGGCACCCCGGCGCATACTCGACAACAAGCTCCCCGCCGTCCTCGTCTCCATCACTTCCGCTTCCGAGCAACTCCTCCACATCAGCCTCCACCAAGAGCGAGATGCGCGCCGGCCACGCCGCGCGGAGCGTCCTCCGCGACGACGGCGCGCAGCTCTTCTTGGCCACGCTTCCGCCGAGACGCAGCCGGAGCACAGCGCCGGCCATCAGGTCGCTCTCGCGGCGAATGTGCTGCCGACGATGCCGTGGGTAGCACACGTCGATCCAGGCCTCCACCATGCGCAGCAACGGCGGCGGTGCCCGAGCTCCCGCCGCGGCGCTGCTGCGGCACGCATGCTCGTGCCGCGCCACAAGGCTCGTCCGGAGGTCCATGAGAAACTGCGGGGAGCCGCCAATGACGGCCAGCTTGCAGGCCGCGCAGCGCCCGTACCTCGCGCACGGCGGCAAGCCCACGTCCAGCGGCCTACGCATCGTCTCCTCCCAGCGCCTCTTTCCCATCCAGAGCGCCGCGATCCGCGAAGCGCTGCGCAGCCAAAGTTCTACCGCCGCCTCGTCCCCTCGCTGCTGCTGCTGCTGCTGCTGCTGCTGCTGTAGGGCCGCCCGGACACGATCGAGCCGACGCGTCGCCTCGTCGGCGACGAGCGCCAGCAGTGCGGCTAGCACGCGCGGATTAAGCCTCTTGTGGCTGGGGCACAGCGCGGCGGCGGCGTCGGCCTGCAGCGTCTCGTGGACGGCGGCGGCGGTGCTGCTGCTGCTGCCGTGTCGGGCAGAGGAGAAGAAGAAGACGTCGCCCAGCAGGGAGAGGGTGCGTGGGCGCCGGAGGGAGATGTCGTCGAGGTGCGCGACGGCGCGCTTCTGCTGGTGCAGCCAGCTAGCGCAGGCGGCCTCCGTTTTGGACGGCGCGCTCCCGGTAGTGGTGGCGTGCTTCAAGTAGAGGATGCCGGCGAGGGCCTCTATGGCGGGCGGGCGGAGGTTGCCAAAGGGCGCGGGGTCGTCTTGCCAGTCGGGCATGATTTTCTTGGTGTTGGCGAGGGATTACCGTCTTGATGGAATTAGTGTGTGATGAGCTGACTTGATGAGTGTGATGGGGGCAGTGTCTACGTGATTTGGAGGAGGGGGGGATACTTATACATATAAAGACTGATTCATGTTGTTTGAAGTCGCAAAGGCTGTTTTGCAGATTTGGTTGTCTTTGCAAACAAACGTCTCTTTGTGGAATGCTCATCGCCTTTATTATCGCTGCAGCCAGCAAACCAGCAAGCCAACGACTCATGCCAAACATTTCCCTGCAACCGTTGTCGCTCTCACGCACTGATATATATGGCCGTGTTTTTCATGGGTGAATGCTATATACAATGCGAACATAAACAAAAAAAACCATTTCCACCAGACGCAATTTCCAGTGCGTCAAACACAACCCTTTCACCGAGTAGTGATCCTGACATGTATGTATGTATAATCAATACACATTTGCGCCTTATGAAACCATAGGAAATGTTGGTGTTTTGCCGTCGAGGCAGAAGATTGAACAAAAAAAATAGACGTCATGTCATCATGAGTAACGATTGAACTTTGTGCGAAAAGGAAACAAGATTCGTGGCCACCATGGCTGAACCAACAAATGAAAGAAAACACGCTAGTATGTAAAATGATGGTTTCAGGAACGCCGCCCAAGTAACTGGAATAAGGCCGGCTGCCCATCGGCAGCATCAGCTCGCAGTTCCCAATGCAGCCAGCCTTCGAATTGCCGGTAACAAACGCCGATATCATTGATAGATTGGTCATTGCAAAGAAAGTATGTATCCAAGATTTATCCAACTAGGCACTCTGAGCGTCTTGGCCCAGTCGCCTCTTTTCCATCCGGATTTTGGCGGCTTCCGTTCCGTCGTCGGGTGGCGCCATTTCTTTGAACCAGGGGTGGTTTAACGCCTCGCGGGCTGTGATGCGCTGTGCAGGATCATATATGAACATTTTCCGTAACAGGTCATGGAAGTTTTTAAAGAATGTCGTGTTCCTTGGGATTATGAGCTAGCAATGGTTAGGGACAGTATGCAACGCGATGTTTGATAGACTTACATCGAGATTTTTCATAGCTCTAACAAAGCGTCGAGAGCTTCGAGAGGTTTCCGGGGTTGGATAGTCAAGCCTGAGTCGTTTGAAGTATCTAGCAGCGAGTTAGTTGAGGCTCACAAAGATAAAGTAGCACCACATACTTAGAAGCCGGGTTGCCGCCTGTCCTGGTCGACATTCGGTTAATCGCTTGGACCAGGTGAGCATCTATGCGCTGTCCAACAACCATTTCCATCATAGCAAGATGTTCCAAGTTGTCGTGTGTCTGGAAGAGGGCATCGCCTGTGAAGAATTCGACGAGGATACACCCGATACTCCAAATATCACAAGGAAAAGACCAGCCGAGGCCAAGGATAATTTCGGGGGCACGGTAATGACGGGTAGAAACGACAGATGAATGATATTCATCCTCGAATGTAGCAGAGCCAAAGTCGATTAGCCGAATTTCGGTGTCAAGTAACACCCGCCTCTGTGTGGCTTGCCGATTAATTGTTGTCGAGGCCGACGGAATCTTTCTGTGATATGTAAAGGTTTGATATGAGTTGTCGTATAATAAAATATTCTCCGGTTTGAGATCCGTATGTATTAGATTGAGGTCGTGAAGGACTGGTACAGTGTTAGCAACGGAAGCCAGGTAGAGAAGGAGGGCACGTACAGGCAACGCTGGTAAGCAGCTGGCGAGCAAACTTTTGAATCTGGCTATTGGGGAACGGAACAAAGTGGTTGCCTTTGAGAAAGTCGAAAACACTTGAGCCAAGAAGATCCATGACGATGCAGATATGGCCACGATAGTCGAAGCAGTCGCGTAGATGGATACATCGGTTCCTGTTGGTGGGATCATTTGCTTTCAGGGTGGCAAAGACACGGAGCTCAATCCGCGAAGCATCGCGGTACTTTTGGACTGAGCGGATAATCTTGACGGCGACAGCCTCGTTTCGCCGGCGGTCGCGGGCCTGAACGACTTTGCCAAAGGTACCTTGACCAAGAAGACATTTGATTTTATCTGTTAGACTATCAGTAATGGTTTTCAGGGATGGAGGGGTCTGGAAGCCATCTTACACTTGTCAGTTAGGTCTGCATCTGGTACCACAAGGTAGTGGCCGTCGTCGTCGTCGACCTTGACATTTTTGATTGGCTGGCTCTGCGCGACGATTAGCATTGGGTAGCTGGGCAGATGACGAAATCGAGCAAGACATACATCGTGAACCACGCGGACATATACATCGCCACCCTTTTTAGGCGGGTATGGAGGTGGCACATAGGCTTCAAAAGGATGGCCAAGTCCCTCGATATCGCGGCGTTTGGCCTCGATGGCGACTTGTTGACGGGTGCGCTTCCTCTTGAGCGGGGTAGAGACAGAGTCGGCTTGACCAATTGAAGACAAAGATGTGGCAGCAGTTGTATGAGAGGAAGAATGATGGCCATCGCTAGACAAGGTCGAGGCAGTGGGTGTGATGTTGTGATTTGGTGTAGGCGCATGGGAGCTGGTGACAGGCTGGATGTGATAGTTGGCGGGCGGGTTCACATTTTCTCGGCGGCGACGTTTGGCAGGTTGCGTTTGTGGTAAGCCGACGAGAGAACCGTCCGGGGTGATGATATGGCTACTGGTAGCATGGGCGTGTGTGAGTTTGCGGCCTTGGTTCGCTTCGGGCTCCGGTGTGTCGTCAATAACTATGATTTCCTTGGGTAAGCCGTTGCGGTAAAAGTTGTTCCAATCAGGCTCTTTTGATCGGCGACGCTTGCGAGAAGCGTGCTCGTCCATGGCGGCGGCGACCGTGGCGGTCATGGCGGTCATGGTGCTACTCGACATGGCGGACGTAAAACTGTCGTCTAGACGAGTCGCAGGCGTGTATCCGGGCAGGTCGAGGTAAGCATGGGGAGGGGGTGGCGGCGGGTGGTCTAGCGCAGAAGCGTCGTCGAGGTAGCGACGCAGATTCAGCGGACTGGGACGGCCGAAGACGGGAAGCAAATGGGCTGTATTCGAAACTGCGGTGGCGGGCGATACGAGAGAGCTGGAGGCGGCAATGGGAGCCGCGGTACGATATCCAGGAGAGGCGGGATATTGTTGTTGATGGGCGGCAGCATAGGGCGAGTGGTAATGGCGCGGGTGGTGGTAGTGAGGGAGCGTGGCAGCCACGGCAGTCGCAGGCGTCGACATGCCGCTAGTGGTGCCCGTGCAATCAGAGCGGCGTGCAGATTGGATGGTTGAATGGGATGCGGTATGTCCGAAAGGGAGCAAAGAGATGTCGGGGAGGAGAATGTGTCGTTGAAAAGGACGAGAATTGCGAGACGAAGTGTTGAGCGTCCCGAGTCAGAGTGGCAGACTGGCAGACTGGCAGACTGGGAAGGAGGGATTATTTTTCGGGAAAGCTGGAACACACGGGCCAGGGGGGTAAGTGGTGGCAAGGTCAAGCGATCCTTTCTGGTGCGAATGAGAATGTGATAATATTCTAGCGACGGGCAGGCAGGCTCGCTAACAAATGGGTGGTGTGGACGTTGTGAATTGGTGGTGAGAAGTTGCCAAGGTAATAACAGCGGTACAACAGCAAAGTGTAACAACAGGTACCCTAACTTAGTACCTACTACCTACCTGTACTAAGGTACCTACGAGTGGCGGCACGTACCAGCGGAGCATCCTTTACTTGCAGCACTGGGCGCCCTTAGGTGGTCGCATCTTTGATTTAACTAGTGGACTAATAATATAGTGGGCAGAACCCAACTACAAGGGACTAACAGGTATTATTATTAAGGTACACCCACTGTAGGTTAGTACATTGCCATGGCTCTCCAGTGCCTCCAGTGCACGCCAGCTGACGGCCACTGTGGGCAAACCAAGTCACCTGTCATTGGAAGGCGCCATGAACTGGGCAGACTGTGGGCAAACGCCCTGTTCCCTCCCAACAATACGCGCGACATGGAGGCCCAAGAAAACACGCACAATGAGGGGAAAATGAGGCACCGTTCCCAAATAGGTCCAGCGGCGGATCAAGTTGACAAACCAGAGCCAGAGGGGGCAACATCCTCGTGGCTGCATGTTCCAGGGCCAGTCTGTGTGTGGAATGAGGTGCCGAGGAGCGAGAGTAGGCTGGCGGCTGGACAGCGCATGATGGCCTCGCAGAAGAAGGAAAGAGAGGCGGCCGACCGAGCTGGCTAATCTATCCTAGATTCAAAATGGCTTGTGCCACCAAACAGAATAGATTAGAGCGAAGGAAAAAGAGAAGAAATTCAACGCAGCTGAGATTCCTTTATTCTGTCGGCAGCCGTAACTACCTGTAGGTACCTACCTAGAGAGAGACCTGTTCCATCACGCCCCGCTGTGCGCATAGGCACAAAATAATGACTGTGCAAAGCGCACTGTAATAATACCGTGCAGTAAGTAATGCAGGGCAAAACGAGGGTGCAGTAAAAATGCACCATGATGTGTCGCGACAGGTAAAGTTTTCTTGCATGAAAAGGCTACATAAAACTACACGTAGCCCATCCCTGAAGCGAAGCTACCTACCTAGTAAACTTGCTTGCAGATATTATTTGTCCGGGAGCCTCTGGCTCCTTCCAGCGCTGCCTGTACAGGTGCTGGCTGGCTTTTCAAGGTTCACCAACCGACACTATGGTTCGGACGACGCCAGGAAACCTACAACCAGACGTAAAGTATCTCGACGATGGCCTCGGAAAACCAAAATTAACAAGCTGTATATATAATAATATATAATAACCAATGATTGCATGTATACAATTTCATCTTCCGTCTACGCAAAAATCCAAACCGCTCAACACATCTTCTCACCCAAAACCACCTGCAATTCGCCCTGATTAGAGATGGCTTCACCAGAGACACCCAGCCAGCCCTGTACTATTCCTATGACCATTCTGCAGCTAGTCAAACTACGCGGTAGGAAAGCGCCCGTCTGGTGGGCACGCGCATATCTCGTCCTAAACCGACTCATCCAACTCGCGGGCCGAGTGTCGAGATGCCGCCTTCAAAACCGCAAGGCCTGGAGACGCAACGTCAACGCGCACGAGCTCGCATTTACAGCGCGCCTAGGCTTTCTCGACGAAGCGAGCGCCATTGTAGCCACACAGGACCGCGCCGCCGTCGCCGAGGAAATCACGGCCATGCTCGCGCTCCTCTTGCCCGCCGTCAACGACTGGCTGGAGGCGTGCGAGGAGTTTCTACAGAGGAGACAAGCAAGGTGCCCGACTGGCCAGTGGGCCGAGGCCGCAGAGGAGTTTGCGCATTGCCGTAGCCAGCTCGACGACGTGGCGAGCCGGTATGGCATGCCCTTTTACAACCTCAGCCACATGCTGGAACTTGTAGGCGGGAAAAACAAGTAGCTTCAGAACAAGATCACGTCACCCCAAAGCCTGTTATAGAAGATTCTGCTGGGGCTCTATCCTCTATCGCGTGTTGGTAAGGACCCTGCATCCACACTTGGGCTTCACCGCGCTGCTTATATCAGTCAATCAATCGGACGAGGTTTTGCTTGAGTCAGCTTTTCTCTCAACACTCAACATGGACGAGAATCGGGATCAAGGGATTGCGGGGCCGCGCGTGAGAGGGGTCTCGGCACCCGAGATCACATCACCATCTGAATTATGAATTATTGCCCTCTCCTCTCCTCAACAGGGCTCATTAGTCCCACACAGGGCAGAACCAGCAGACAACTAACTACCTACCTACCTAAGTAGTTAGTAATAAATGTATTACTAACCAACTATTGTTCTTTTTCCATTTGACATGGTTGATTTTGAATCGTAGCGTAGTTCATTACCAGTATCCAGTCTCTCGCCTTCTCCCCGCTATTCCGCTAGATACAGAGGCGACCATCTTGTCACAGGTAATAATAGCTGGATGGCAACAACGAAAAAAAAGAACAACCCCAAACTACAGTGCCACTGTCTACGTATTATATTTCTCTTTTAGTACCCTGGTTGCCTGGCTACTATACCAGTCCAGCATGCAAGCTTCACCTTAACTAAATCCTTTAAATAGAAACCGAGGAACCATCAACGAAACCCAATCAAAAGAGCAGCCAATGCAACATCGCCTACCTACCTACCCAGGTACATTGTAATACCTGTTACCACTTTTGCCTCGTGTCTCAACTAGCCACTATGCAGGTTAAAGCATTCGCTGCATGAATCATGATCGTTTCTATGCAACTCTACGTCGGTTGCTTCCCCCGCTCTTCTCTCCGCCCTCCTTTCCGCCCCGTCTCCTGTCCCCCGCGCCTGACCTTCTGCAAACACGTATACCGCGTATACCGCCCTCTCCCAAGAAGCGTACCAACTAATACTGCGTACGGGTACACACATGGAAGCAATGCAGATTACTTGCCCATCATTTCCGTTGATATTCGCCCGTCATTATTCGTGTACTAAAGAACCATCCCGCCCGTATCACGTATCCCAATCTCTCACACAAACACCATACTGGCAATTACCACCTACCCGACAACTCTCCTCAGCCACCACCAACTCTGTTTGTTTCACCTAGTCACCTCCCCCGCCTCGCTCTTCGCCTCGCCATCCAGAATCCTCTGCCTTGCCCACCCCTCCATGCCCTGTCGTCACTTGCCGTGCCATCATCTTATTAGCTGCAGACTGCAGCCACAGCAACCCAACCACCACCTGGCCTCGCCAAGGACAGGAAACACCCCATCGAACAAACGAGGAGTTCAATAAGCAGCGAGTTGGCCATTTATTGCCGCAGCCCAATCAGAATTACACAAATACCCACGCAAACTGCGGCTACGAGGATTAAAAAAGCACAAAGTAATCAAAAGTAGAAACAAGGGTTGCAGGTAAATGTGCCATACTACTTCGTTGCGCATATGTGAGTCCTCGCGACCCTCCCCGCATCGCAACCCCTCTCGTAGTGTATGGAACGACATCTACGCCAGGCCTGATGCCCAAACGCCTTGGCAACAGCCAGCCGGCCGGCCGACCATCAACATTACTGTCCTACCTAGTTGAGTACATCACAACGCCGAGGTGCCAAATACAATGGCTAGACTGGCCGCGCTCCTTTGCCCCTAACCGTAACTATCGTATTCACCAAATTGTAGAAACTTTTGAAAAGCTGCAACAAGTCTATATCGCTCTCTAATGAGGAAAATGACATCCAAATAAAGCACTCCAATACCAGCATTGCTTCCTGCTGCATCCCTCAAAACCAGCCGCTCTGTATACTTTCACGCGCAAACGCGCATGAAGCCCGGTGGAATCTCCTGCCACTCGTCCTGTTTACAGACCGCGGTTAAACCAGACCTTGCCTCCGTCGCCTCCCTTGCCGTGGAACTCGGGCTCCAGGTCGTCGGCGCTAATCTCCTGCTGTTGGGGGAACACGGCGAGTGCCAGCGGCAGCGCCACAAACGACACCACCGTGATGAGACCCAGATTGAGGCCAATCGGCACCAGCATGGCCACCTTGGGACGCGACTGCACCCACTGCTTGGCCATGAAGCGCTTATACCACGCTTGCTTCTCCTGGATGTGGTAGAGCACCATGGCGGGGATGATCATGATGGGACTATTGTTGAAAACGCGGCTCGCCGCCGTCTCGTACACAGCCAGCTTGGCCGCCTTTTGACTGCGGCCCAGCGACGGCACGTCGCGCTCCGACTTGCCTTCAGCCTGCATCTGCTGCTTCTGCGCCTCCGAGATGACGGGGCGCACGTCGATTCCCGTCGTGATCTCGCCGCGCCGCATAATGTAGGCGTTAAGCGCGCCTGCCGAGGCGACGGCCGCGAATGGTATCAGCCGCTTGAGGATGTTGCGCGTCGACGGCGCCACGCGCAGCCGCGGCACCAGGGCATTAAGACCGAGTGCCACCGAACACGATGCTGTCACCGCAATGCTGTACGACTTGGCTAGCGTCTCCATCGTCATCGGCGACGACTTGTTGGCGTTGGAGCTGTTGACGGCCACGTTGAGCGACTGGTTGGCAATCTGCCATCCGACTGTGCCGACCGTGCCTAACCCTGGCTGCAGCATACCGACCGTTACGACAAGGTTGGACAGGACAAACGACGACATTCGAAAGGGCAGGAACACCGCCTCACCAGTATCTACAACTCGTTAGCCGTGTGTCAGCTTTGCTACGCAGGAGGTGCTCGGTACACACCAGGATGCAGAGTCGAGTCGACAATCTTCTTGGCATTCCACAGCTCGGCAGTCATGTCCCTAATCTCGCCCGTCTTATACTTTGTAACGAGCTGTTTTGCATTCTCGAGGCCCGAATGCCCGGCAAAGAGCGTGCTGTAGAGAGCGAGATTAGCAAGCTTTCCGTAGTGACTGGAAGAGAGGTGCCCGCTTCTGGCGACGTCATGGCACGACGACAGCGACTGCTCGCGGCGACGTACCTTGGGTCAGTCAACGTGATGGCATGCTGGACTCGCCCAAAGTATGTGGACAGATCATACTGCGAGCGCGGCAGCTCGCGGTCACCGGGGAGCGAAGCAGACATGGTTCCGTCGTCGAGTCTTTTCTGTTCGCAACTTTGAATCGGCCGGGCTGCAGACCGTATGCAACTGATTTTTCGACCGGTGTACTCGTCTCGTTGGCCGGGCGCGGATTCGACCCTCAAGGGCGAAATAATCTAAAGGGCAATTGACAGACTTGCTGGCGGTGAAGGTCAATTTTCTACGGCCTATGCCGAGTGTCAGAACGACGATGCTAGCCGTACACTACCGATGTCGGACGACCAGTGATTCAATTTGGTGGATTTTTTTAGTAGTGGTATGGGGAAGAAGGGGTCAGTCAAGAACGAGCTTGGCGTTCGTCGACTACCTGGGTAGGTAGTTACCTAACTACCTATGTGCCTACCTCCTAGGCAATTAGTTAGCAAATTAGCCTTCTAGCTGAATGCCCTGCCCGCGTAACTAATTTGACTCAACGTAACACAACATAGAGCTGTGTGAGCCAAGTCTCTCGCTACAAAAAAAACAAGGCACATTCCCGGTTCCTTTGTGTGCTGTTTCCTTACGCAGCTCTCCTTGTAGGTTGACTGTGTGGCCATGCTGCGATGGAAGTCGCCCGCAGGCAAAGAAAGCTTGAGCAAACACGCGACATCATGGGCATTTGTCTGTGAAGATCCAGCAAAAGAAATAGCAGGCAAACAACCCCCACATTCAGCAAAAAGAAATTCACTTCGAGTGTATTGCGACCACGCCAGGAGTCGAACCTGGAATCTCTAGAGAATATCGTCAAGGGAGGACCGAAATCTAGCGCCTTAGCCATTAGGCCACGCGGCCGATTGACCATATCAAGGACCTAATGATGCCCATCACCTTGACAAAGAAAAGAGAGGTAGTATTTGCATCTGTATTAAGCTCTCGAGTCCAGGACTTGCACAGCGAGAAAGAAGAATATATCTACCTACGTGAATGGCGTACTACATTGTGATGCGTTCATTGGCAGCTGGCAGCTGGCAGTTGATGGACGCTTGCCAGGCTGCCGTTTGCCAGCTTGCAAACGGAGCATGCTGTGTTTGGAGAATCCCCGTGTTTTCCCTCTCAGTTTCTGATTTCCGACTCTTCATCACCATCACAGACAACATACCGTCTCTACTAGTGGTCACCCTCGTTCTTCGATTTCTGTTAAATAATACGCCATTCATTGACTTGAAAAGACATGCCAGCCACTGTAAAGGGGTGGCGGCCTGTCGAGGTTCAAACCGACGAAACCCTGCCTGAGAATTTCGTGGGCCTTCTCGATTGGGTGCTAGACGAATCTGTCGTGGCAGATGATGAAGATTTGAGCCACCATGTTAGCCGGTGTCCCAGCCAAGCTGCCGAGAATCACGGCTTGACGTCCAGAAAGGTCAGCGGCCAAGGTATGTTCATCACATTTACCCTCAACAAGCACTAAGCTAACTCTTGTTAGATCAGCAGGAGAGCCAAGCCAAGGCCAAAAACATTCCGCCTGCGGAAAGCCCGCTCTCTAATGCTATGGCTATTGAGGGCAGAATGAAAGACGAGAGCACCAACAAGGACGAGGGCCAGGCCACGAGCCCAGCTGACCCCGACCACATCTCAGTCTCATCGGTCAACACGGCACCGAGAATACTTCTGAAGGTAGCGGAGAAGGGGAAAATTTCTTCGGAAGAATTCCGTGAGCAAGATCTGGCAAGCCCTGACAAAGATCTGGCTTCTTCGTGGAGCGTCAGCGCGATAGGAGAAGACCCGACTACACCGCCGAAGGGGGCTCCTCTAACGGAGAGACCTTGCCAAGGAGGAGGCTCCCCCACGATCGAGGTGTTGCACTCGTTGAGTAAGCCACGTTCATTGTCCGTTGCTGCATGGGTTCTAGACACCACGGACGCACCAGTGCCCAATCTCGTTCTCCCCAAAGCGACCAACGCTTCCACCCACTGTTGCGCGATTGATCCCGAGAGTGGAACATTTCTCCCTGCAATAGATTACCCAGAGACCCGAAAGAATCACCAACTGGAATCGCAATCGGAGCCAGGATGGTGTCGGGGTAACATGACTTCGGGTATGCAGATCAATCGGGAGATGAAAGTCAGAGCGAAGCTTGCCGAGCGCGCCAAGGAAAGACTGCATATATCTGCCCAGATCAATGAACAAGGAACTGTGATGGAGGAACAGGAAACCTCTTTCCCCAAAGCATACTGTGCAATTCGACCAGCAACAGACAATGACGTTGGCGGGATATTGGACATCCTCAAGCTGGAGCGACAATGTAATGCGGAGGATAACAACAAACCCTCAACTGGCATAACAAAGTTGGAGGTTTTGAGATATTTCAACCTATGCAAAAAAGAGCGCCGGCCGTTCATTATCGCAACCGGTCCCGAAGACGACCTTTTGGATCAGTCAAAATGGCCTCCCGGTGCTGACAGGGCGTACCAGGAATATGTCGAATATCGGAGCAAATCCTCAAAGCCGAAGGCTACAATTGTTGGTTTCGCCTTTGCCATGCCACGACAGTCACCAAGTCTCGAGGTGCAGGGCATTCGTGTCGACCATTCCTGTTATGTTACCCTGATGGTCCATCCCGACCACAGGAACAAGAAGTATGGATCCGCACTCTTGGACAGAATTTTAACATCTGTATCTCCCATCCATCGTAGCCTGATCGACTTTGAATGGAAGTGTGATGACCCGACTGACATCTATGAGCAAATTGCTTCCAACAATACGCAGCAGTACGCTCGAGTTATCGTCGAGTTCCTTGACGCCCATGACGAAAGCCAGAGGAAGTTGTCAGGAAAGAAGTTATTGGAGAAGTTTGGATTTTCTCGGGCGGGGCACTTGACCTGTCTGAAGAGTGAGACTCGTGACGGCAAGAGGCACTGGTTGGACCTCTTCATTTGGGAGCTTGAGGCTCAATCCCTCGACAATGTTCGGTAGAGGAGGGAATGTACTTACTTGTTGTATGTTACTGCGGTTGCTGGTCCCTAGGGATTGATGGATTCGTCGATCAAAATGACGCTCAAAAATGTTTAGCTATAGAAATGGTCTAAGTAGGATTTTGTAGAGTCCTGATTGCCAATAAAACCAATGCGCACTATCTAACAAAACTGCGATCCGTGATGATACAGTCTTGTGGTGAGACAGGCCTGATCAGAAGGCTCCACTACGATGCTCGTGGCACCACGATTTTGACCCTTTCACCCTGTGCAAACCCGCTATATCCATCAACAGAGTGCAGCTGCCTGGGAAAAAAGAACGCCTAATATATCAAAGGCCCTTGAAGTATAGAAGTCGAAACGAACTGGAGGCGATATGCTGTCGATTTTGCGAAAAGCGCGGCTCAAGGACAAGGAGATGCGAATTCTGATGCTGTGGGTTGGTGAGCTCTGTCAGGCACAACATGCAAGCTAATATGGTGGCGGATTAGTGGCCTCGACAATGCAGGGAAGACAACAATCGTCAAGAGAATTCTTAATGAGGATGTTCACACAGTCAGCCCGACGCTGGGATTCATCATCAAGACGATAGACTACGACGGGTGAGTTGAGCCGACAGGCGCGCTCAGGGCTTTTGCTAACCATTCTCTCTGCATCTAGATATAAGCTTAATATTTGTTCGTTTGTTACGACTCTGTCGGACTGGGCGGTTGCTGACTGATGTAGGGGACGTCGGCGGACAGAAGACATTGCGGTCCTACTGGCGAAATTATTTTGAAAAAACGGATGCGCTGATCTGGGTCGTCGACTCCACGGACCGGCTGCGCATTGACGACTGCAGAGAGGAGCTTCACGGGCTCCTGGAGGAAGAGGTAGGTGATATTGGCAACACGTCGAGCGGCAAGCAAGCGCGGAAGCTGATGAGTTTTGTAGCGACTGGCTGGAGCCTGTCTGCTCATCTTTGCCAACAAGACGGACGTGGATGGGTGTATGACAGAGGCAGAGATCCTCCGGGTGAGTAGCAGCGTAGACAAGGTTCGGTGACATTTTAGGCTAACGGGTAACAGGCCCTACGACTGGACGAGATTCGAACGCACCAGTGGCACATCCTACAGTGCAGTGCCATGACGGGGAAGAACCTGAAGGAAGGGCTCGCTTGGGTTGTGGAGGATGCTAAGAAGCGGCTGTTTCTGTACTAGCAACCGGACCGCAGTAGCAAAGTGAATTATGTCTATAATAGTTAGTCAATACAAGAAAGCCAGGTCACATAATTGGATACTTGATGTGGCAGTGTGGGTTGTGCAACTAACAAGCAAGCCATCACTCATCCAAGGCCAGTGGTACATAGGCAGCACGCATGACGTGCATACGAGTAAGTCGATGGCGACGATGCAACAGCCCAGGACGACTGGAAGCAACCATGGGGCTGAAGGGCGTCAAATAGTTCAGGATAAGGTGGTGATTCGCCGACGCGGAGACGACGCGGTGCGGGTGGGCTTTTGTTTTCCTGGGCCGGTTTGTTTACACGCCGGATTGGGTCAGAGCTAACAGAAGCTACTTGTCGGGCGATATTCTTGCCAAGGGAGAAAAGAAATCGGCAGATGTGTACAAGATGGACGTCCATGTTCGCATTGCGGGAGGGAATGAAGGTGTCATGCAGCAGGGTCATGTTAGAGATTCTTGGCTTGAAATGTTGGTTAAATTGAGAGGCCCCCTAGGGCGGCCAAATATCGCGGCCGGGCTCCCTCCGATGTGTGGACGGTCAGCAGGTACAAGGCTGTACCTAGGTAGGGAGCGCGAGACAAGTACCTGGTCTTAGCGGCAACGGACGTTATGGGGGAGACAACACCTGAAAGACGCGCTAAGCAGAGACGCAGTCCGCTATAAGCTGGCTATCAGGGGACATTTCGTGTCTCGCTTCCTTGTAACTTGAGACACCAACCTTGGCACCAGTTCAGGTACAGAGAGTACTAAGGTAGTTACTTTGGCCGACTCCGTATGTCGCCGCCTGATCCAGACCTGCGACCTGTTTCCGCCCTTTCTCCCTCCTCGATCTTGGAATCTCTAGTTACGGTCAACAACCGGTACTTCCCCTGGAGGGCAGAGTGCATAGCTAACGGAATTACCACTCAACAAATCCCATCTGACAGTCGCTACGGAAGGATACGAGCAATTGCCATGTCCTGGGCACTTTGAGGCTTGCCGACACCGAACAAGCCACCCCCGAGCATCGACCTACGCCCGCCGCTGCAAAACGAAGCGGACGACAAAATGTCGGACGAAGTGTCCCAGTTCCTCGAGCAGGTCGAGCAGCTGCGCGGCAAACAGATTGAGGATGACCAGCTGAGAGCCCGCGAGCGCGAGGAGTTTATGGCGGCCAAGCGAGAGCGCCAGGCCAGACGAGAAGGTACGTCGTCCGCCGACGCCTGACTTTCCAGGGCATCAATGTGACATGTACGCTGCTAGTCGGGTTGTGTCGGGGATAACAAGGCCGATTTGAGGAGAAAATAGAACGGCATCAAGAGATCAAGTCATACAGCCGGCCGGCCGGAACCCTTGGCTGGCTTGCTCACCCCGGCTGGCAGCTGGCAGAAAACACTCCCCTCCCTCAGATCCTCCCGTCATCAAACAGAGCAGCACAGTCCACCTTGCAATCACAACAAGAAAAATTTAAAAAGCCCCTCAAATACGCTAACCACAATATCTTCCCTTGCTACAGAACGCGCAAGGTCCATCTCACCGCAAAAGTCTTCGCCCGCCAACACCCCATCCCCACGCGCCCGTCCTCGCGCCGCCGCCAACCTGCCCGACACGCTCAAGCTCGACTCCTCCATCCTCCTGCTCGACGACACCCGCGAACCTTCGACCGAGCCGGCACGCGGTATGGGGTACTCGGACTCGCCCACCAAAGAGAACGAAGCACCCATAGGCACCGCATCCAAGCTAGATGCCGCCGGTGCCGCCTCTGGCGGCACTCTCACCAGAAGCTCGACCCTGTCCTGGCAGCAGCGCCGGCCCAACTCGCGCGGCAGCGGCACTACTTCTCGCCCTCTCAGCGTGGTGGCCGCGCAGAATGCCACGCAGCGCGGCGTGGTTCGCATGCACGATCCGCCCCCCGCTGCGTCACCCGAGCACCAGACCCTCACTAGGGAGGATATCGCCAAGACCCTGGGGCTAAAGGACCCCTCGTGGTTCCGCCAGACGGCTGATCGTGGTGAAAACTCCGCTGCTTTTAGAAAGAACCAGGTTGAGGACAGCGATACCATGGACATGTCATCTTTCAAGGCGCAGCTCCCCGGCATGTCTGGCGTGCAGAAGGAGTCTGTGGCAAACCCGACACCGGCTAGCCTCGCATCCCCGCTGTCACTCAATCCCCCGGCATTTGAAGGCGGGGCGGATAGACATGGTGACGCCGAATTGCCCAGCGGCCGGAGCTCGCCTACGCGCTCTGGTTCCCCCACCAAAGGCCTGGGTGGATTTGTTCAGAGTGCCATGATGAAGCGAAGTGACAGTATCAAGCGCTGGAGCGTTGCGAGCCCTCCTGGCCTAAGTCGTGTCGATTCTGTCTCAGGAAACGTTGGCGGTAACAGAGAGGGCGCGAGAGGTAGCCCTCGACCACGAAGCACAATCAGAGAATCAGCTACACCGGAATCTAGCCGACCTACTTCACGAAGCGGAATTCAAGAGAGCGCATCTTCCGATCATTCGAGCCAGGGGGCCCTGAGCCGCGAGCCGAGCGATTTGAAGATCCCCATCAGCCCTTCCAAGACTATGGACTCGAGGCGATGGAGCCCAACCAAGTCCAGCTGGCTGGATAGCGCCTTGAACCGTCCCGAGTCCCCTCGACCTCAGCACAAGTCCAACCAGTCACAGCCCGATTGGATGTCGGAGCTGGCCCGAAGTAAGGCTGCAAGCCCCAGCGGTGAAGGCAGCCGCCCAAGTTCGCCTCAGAAACACCAAGTCAGCATTGGCGGACTCATGAGAACCACACCATTCGACGGAGGCGCAAAGACCAACACGACCGGTTTGGGGGGCATTTACTCGCCGCCCCCCGGTGGCAACAGACCACAATTTGGCCACGCAGCGAAGCAGAGCTTCTCGATTGCGTCCATAGAGCGGCCGCCTTCGAGCCTTGAAACCGAATCCCCATGTACGCCCACGCTGCGGGAGGCCAAGCCAGAAGGCCAAGCCGGCACCAAGCCGGACATGAATATAGCGGCGCGATCTGAGCTCACGCCCGAATCCAAACCGGATGCCAAGTTAGAGCCGTTGAAGCGGCCCTCGGTGGCTTCTCCCCCGGCCATGAAGCCCAAGCCCGCCACGCCGCCCAAGATGGACTTTCGCTCAGGTTTAAAACCCCGCCCTCTCGATGCTGATGCCAAGGGCTCCGAACAGCCCGAATTCAGAAATGCCCTCGGCAACCTGCGCCGCACCAAGACACAAAATTATGTCGCACCTGATGAGTTCAAGGGGAACATACTTCGCGGGAAGTCTGGCCTTGCAGTGACCGGCGGCCCGCAAAAGACGGAACGGAGGGACGAATTCAAGGATTCGATTCTCAAGAAGCGAGAAGACTTCAAAAAAGCTCAGGCTGATGGGAAAGGTGTAGCACGAACTACAACAGCTGCCTCAGCGCCGGCGGCTCTACCAGAGGGTCTGGCCAGGAGAGCTGAGCTCGGGAAAGGCGGTTCCATCCGGGGCAACAACCCCGTTACTGGCTCAGCTGGTACGACCGCCAAGAGGCCAGAACCATTCAAGCCAGTACCTGCGCCAAAGCGAGTCCCCAGCGGCACTGCCTCTGCTGCAGCAAAGAATCCGGCACCTGAAAAGCCTCGTCGCATTTCCACCGAGCCTTGGCGAAAGAATAGCGGCACCGAACCTCCCCTCGTACCCAGCAAGGAGAAAGAGGCCACGGGACCAGCGAATTTACAGCAAGGACAGGGTGGGACTGGCAGGCTGGCAGACCGTTTCAACTCAAGTCTTGCAAATATGCTTGCTCGCGGCCCGCCCCCGATGGCATCAAATGGTGGCCAACGTTCTGAAGACGACAATGCAGCCAACAGCCCAGCGGCTGAACCGTCTGCCCCCGGCCCTCAGCTGACACACATGACCAAGGCCAGAGCTCGCGGGCCGAAGAGAAAGGCTCCAACCGGCGCTGGCACAAAAGTTGGTCCTGTACCTTCTACAGTCAGCTCAGCTCCGGTAGGGAAGCACGTGGAGTCTGACGCAAATCAATACGAGGCTGAAGCGTCAGTCACTGAACCTGAGAAGAAGGTCGCCATGTCTGTTCAAGAGCAAGTAGCGGCCAAGGCAGCTGCAAGCAGCAAACCTTCGCCACAGCGTCACCAGGAAGCATCCCCTATCAAATCAAAGGCCGACGCTAGCTCGTCGCCAAAGACACCTTTGCAGAAGCTATCTCTCAACCCGGCCACCGATGGGACTCCTGCACCTTTACAGGATGCTTCTACGAGAATGACCAGCATTGCGGAGAAGAGGCAGTCCAGGCCACTAATCGCTAATCGCTTGTCCACGTTTCTAGACAATGCTGAACAGAAATCTGACAAGCCAAGTCTTTCGCCGAAGCATATCGCCTCACCCAAGTTCACGCCTTCGTCGAAGTCTATTGCTTCACCCAAGACTGAAACCCCGTCAAAGCCACTTCCATCGCCTCGCTATGACGCCTCACCCAACTTTGCCGCCTCAAAGCCAGTCTCAACCACCGCCCCTCTATCTGTATCTGTCTCACCCGAGAAGCCGACAACTCCCCGTGAGAAGCAAACGGAGAGACAATTCGTATCTCCCGCTTTCGCCATGCCCTCACGAACATTCGGCACCGTTGGCCCCAACTCGCCTAGGCCGACACTCCATGGCCCTCGTCCCCAAGCCGAGTCGTCACGCCCAAAATCGCGGCATGGGCGTCCCGTTTCTAGCGCTGGTTTGTCTTCTGTGGCAGTCTCCGCACCGGGATCTCCCATGCCGTCACCAACAAAGCAACCAGGAGAGATCAACGCATTATTTAAGGATTTCTTCGGACCACCACGCCCAAGGAAGGAGTTCAAGGTTGATACGGGTGAGATTCTCATGAGCCACCCCGGGTCAGGGATTAAGATTCAAACTCAGGAGGTTCAGATGTACCGACTCTCGGGAGATGGCAAGAAGACACCCGTATCGGCGCAGAACGAGCGGGTCCTTTTTGATGGTGAAATGTACATTTGTGCTCACAGCTTCAAGAATGCAACAGGCGCAGGCACTGTCGAATTGTACTTCTGGGTTGGCGATGAGGTTCCCGACTCTATGGCGCAAGATGCCCAGATTTTTGCGCAGAGGGAAGCCAAGGCCATCGGTGGCAGACTACTGAAGCTGTACCAAGGCAAGGAGACGACCGAGTTTATGCAAGCCCTAGGCGGCGTCATTATCATTCGGCGCGGCTCCAGCGACCGCTTCGACAGTCTGGCTCCGCATATGCTATGCGGGCGACGGTATCTTGGGCAGGTGGCTTTTGATGAGGTGGACATGAACACCTCTAGCCTCTGTGCTGGATTTCCGTTCATCATTTCGCACAACGGCAAGTGCTGCCTGTGGAAAGGCAAAGGTAGTGATGTAGACGAGCTGAGTGCAGCCCGACTGGTTGGTATGGAGAACACCATTTCGGGCGAGCTGATGGAGCTGGAGGAGGGCAGCGAGCCGGTCTCATTCTGGGAGCTGTTCGAGGAAGGCCAAGCTCAGTCTCATTCTGCCGATCATTGGCGCCTCAAGCCCAACTACAGCAAGTACGGCAGCAGGCTCTTCTGCTCTGACGCCGATGCTCGCCGCCAGGTAAGATGAAGATGGTGCCGGCCGAGGATGACGACAATGCTAACACCATGGCAGATTACGGAGATTGCTCCCTTCAATCAGACCGATTTGTCGCCGCTCAAGATTTTTGTGCTTGACGCCTTTTTCGAAATGTACGTTGTGGTAGGCTCCGGCGCACAGTCGCAATACTCGTCCTTTCGCAACGCGCTCGACTTTGCGCAAGAGTATGCCATCCTGGCGGCGAGCATGGAGGACCGACCCTTTGTGCCCGTGTCGACGATTGTGCTCGAGGGCATCCCACGAGACTTGAAGCGCGTGTTCCGCAAGTGGGAGGACGCACGCAGCCCAACGGTGACCAACACGTACTCGGCGCTGAGGCGCGGACGCAGCTTGCGGGTGGTGCCATTGTCGCAGGCGCTGCAGGCTCTGAACGATTAGGTTTTGTACGAGCATGTATGAGCATACAGACTGGCGTTTTTCTATCATCTAGATGTAAGGGTGAAGGGCCGAGGTACAGCATTGTAGGGGGGTTGTCCTTTTTACCTGTTTTTTACTTGTTTTTACTTGTATTCTTTTCTTTACTTTATTCTAATCATGGTTATATGTTTACATGAGATACTCGATAGAAGTGCAACAGAATAATGCATGAAACTTTGGCGCTGAATGACGCTGTGCATGTCGCAAGCAGATGATGATGAAGGTTTGCAGATGCCAGCCTAGGCTGAGGTCAGGCATGTGAATATATGAACAATGAGGAGATCTGGTCGGCCCGAACTAATTAAAAGGATTCAATTTGGGAGTCTGCCTTCTTTGGAAGTAGCGGCCAGCAACCCTGGAGCTCGTTGCTACACTACTGCAACCCCTCACGTCATCGCCCGGGTATAACAAGGGAGTGTCGCAAGTGGCGGAACAAAGCGTGCTTGGCAAGATGGCAAGATGTCCAACAGTGCGAGCTTCAATAACACCAGACAACATCTGGGGGGGGAGATGCGAACCCACACCGCCTCAATTTCGTCTCGGTCGGTTGTAGCTGGGTGCGATGCTAAGCGGCCAAAGCCGAGATTCTCTGTAGCCTTGTTGTACAAGAAACCATGTTTAAAAGCAAACCGGCAGGAACTTCCCCCCTCAAAAAAGGGAATGGGAAAAAGGAAATGGTCTGCATCTTCTTTTGTGAATATGGTTCTTCACTAAAATCATGACGCCTACTGAAATGACATTTGTCGGTGCTGAACGACGAACGGACAACAACGGCGGCGGCGGCGGCAGCAGCTCTGCCAAGCAGTCACCACTTGCACGAGTCGACACGCCGCCGGACCAGATCCACGACGACGACCTGCCACAGGGCGCATCATCGGGCACAGAGGAGACATGCGACGTGTACAAGACGCCGCCGCCAGACGGCGGGCTGGCAGCGTGGCTGGCGCTGCTGAGCTCGTGGTGCATGCTGTTTTGCACGTTTGGCATGATTAACTGTAACGTGGCGTCCTCTATCACCGTAACAGGATGGGGGGGAGAAGATCACAGGAAGCTAACGAGGTCTACCACAAATCAGGCATTGGCACCTTTCAAGGCTACTACCAAGAAGACTACCTCCGAGAGTACTCCCCCAGCACAATATCCTGGATCCCATCGCTGCAAATCTTCATCGCCTACGCAACTGTACGTTCTCCCCACACCTGTCCACTCATCCTCCTCCTTCACCCCAATGCCAACACGCCATATAGAACCCCTTCACCGGACGCCTCTACGATGTATACGGCCCGCGGTTGCTCGTCGCCGGCGGCACCGCGCTCGAAGTCGTCGGCCTCGGCCTCGCCTCCCTCGCGAAGCGCTACTGGCAGATCCTGCTCGCGCAAGGGCTCTGCGCCGCGCTGGGCATGTCCGCGCTCTACGTGCCGGCGACGGCCCTCGTGGCGGGGTGGTTCGACCGCCGGCGGGGGCTCGCGTACGGGCTCGCGACATCGGGCTCGTCCGTCGGGGGCGTCGTGCTGCCGCTGCTTCTCGTGCGGCTGGTGCCCCGCGTCGGCTTTCCCTGGGCGCTGCGCGCGGCCGCGCTGCTGGTGCTGGTGCTGCTGCTCGTCGCCAACGCCACGGTGCGGGCGCGGCTGCCGCCGCGTCCGGCGCCGCTGTCGCGCCAGGTCCTGCTGCGCCCGCTGCGCGACGCCAGGCTCATGCTCGTCAACGCCGGCTTCCTGCTCATGACGCTCGGTGTCTTCATTCCCATCAACTACATGGCCGTCGAGGCCAGTGCGCGCGGTCTGCCGGCCGCGCAGGGCCACTACCTCGTCGCCACCATGAATGCGGGGAGCCTGGTGGGACGCATCGGCGCCGGGATGGTGGCGGACCGCGCAGGCGCGTACAACACGTTCGTCGCCGTCTCGACGCTGGCTGGCGTGCTGGTGCTGGCGCTGTACATCCCGGCGCGCGGCGCCGCCGCTGTGTGGACGTTTTCGGTGCTGTTTGGCAGCACGTCGGGCGCGTACATTGCGCTGCTGGCGCCGCTCGTCGTCAAGATCTCGCCGCTGGAGGAGTCGGGATACCGCATCGGGCTGTTGTTTGCCATGTCGTCGGTGAGCGGGCTGGTGACGAGCCCAATCGGCGGTGCCATCCTGGAGCGCTGGGGTGGTGACTACACGGGCATGAAGATTTACTCAGGCGCCATGATGCTGAGCGGCGCGGCGCTCGTCTTTGTTTCACGCATGATGTCGACCGGGTGGAAGGTGAATGCTATTTTCTAAAGAAGCTCTATAGAGGGGGTATCAGCCATGTGAAGAAATGTCCAATCGCATTCCTGTGCGTCTCGCCGGTCCTTTACTCCTTTTTTATGTACGAACATGTGTATTTGATGCTTTCTCTAACAGACCAAGAATTGCCAGCTTTGACAGGCAACAAAAGGTGGTAGGGTGATGGAAATATGTCGGTGTAGTGTAAAGCATGTCTCGTCTTCTCTCATCGTTGAATCGTCTCCGCTTCAGGCCTTTCTTGAGCATCGGGCGTATGTAGGCGGCAGCTGTAGGTTTGCACATCCATCGCTTAGTTCTTGATATCGACACCAGAAGACTTTGCCGAGGAGGGGTTAGCAGGGACAGCTATGGGTTGGCCTCGAGCCTTTGCAGTGAGGGTCACGAGCTCCTTGAGCATGAGCTCGCGGGTGGTGCGGGTGAGCTCGTCGACATCAGCGGAGGTGAGGCCTTTGGTTGGGATAGGGTCGAGAACTGGACATTACTTGTCAGTATACAATTTCGCGAGGAAAACGAGATGGAATTGTGCGCTTACTCTTGATGGGGATGGTGCCGGCCTTGAAGACGTAGTCCTTGGGATAGAGAATGTGGCTGTAATTGGACACGACGCAGGGGACAATGGGTACACCGGCCTGCACGGCGAGATGGAAGGCGCCCTTTTTGAAGGGAAGCAGGATGGGCTCCTTGCTGTAGCTGCGGGTGCCCTCGGGGAACATGTAGACGCTCTGCTTGCGGGTCGTTATCTCGTCGGCGGCGCCCTGCATGGCCTGGCGGGCGTCCTTGCTGTTGGCGCGGTCGATGAAGATGGAGCCGCTGAGGGTCATGAACCAGCCGAGAAAGGGGATGTGCTTGAGGGAGCGCTTGCCGGTGACGCTGCAGTACTTGGGGAAAACGGCGCCGAGCATGAGGACGTCGAGCTCGGTCTGGTGGTTGCCGATGAAGACGGCGGGACGGGTGCTGCCGAGCACGTCGTGCGGGTCGTCGGCCTCAAAGGTGGTGCCGGTGGTGAGGCGCGCCGAGTAGAGATAGTAGCGGGCTGTCGCCCATTGGGCAATGTTTCGGTGGCCGGCGATGGAGAGGACGATGGAGGAGACGACGCCAAAGATGGCGGCGAAGAAAAAGGTCATGTACATGGCGAGGCAGCGGGCAAAGAAGCCCGCCCGGGGGACGACAAAGGACAGCATGAAGAGGGCGGCTGTCAGGGCGCAGTATGCGACGAAGCCGGCGACGGTGTAGTAGACAAAGACGCTCATGACTGGGCCGGTTTGGGGGCGGCGGCGAGAGATGGGACGGATGCGGAGGTTCGGAGAGGGGGGGAGGGAGACGGCACAGAGACTGGCTTTCCTTGTCAGCGGGTTCCCATGCGGCAGATCCGTGAGCGAGGCGAGCAGCAGTATCGATGGCGGGCGGGGCGGAGGTGACGAAGACGGTGAGAGCAGCAGCAGCGGCAGAGGCGGCAGAGGGAGAAAACGAGGGTGTCACGAGAAGAAAGGATGGCGACGGAATTTGGTTGGACATGAATCACAGGCCCAAAATGTAGTTGGCAGCCCCGCGTGGCGGCGGCGTGGGGTCTGTGGCGCAGACGCACGTTGACGATTTCAGTGCTGAATTGGTATCTTCTAGGTCATTATTGGTACTAATAATCAAAGCTAGCGAGACTTGAGCGTTGTTGGAGATCCGCTTTTGTTGAGATGCCAGTTGGAGACCTCGGCAGCATGCGACTGTCAGACATGGAAGTACGACTTTTGAATAGAAAGAAAAAAGGAAAAAAAGGGGAGAAAGTTCCCATCGATAGTACGTTGGAATTGGTCAAGTGAAGAGTTTTCAGAAGACTTCAACATGTCAGAAGCACCAGGCCAGGCACGACGTTGAGCTGCGCCAGAAGCATGTGCTAGGTACCTGCCAGCTGAGGCGCGTGGATGTACAGCGCTGTCTCGGTTTATTAGACGAGACACGTCTTGTAGATGATTCAACCATCTTAGGCATGCGAGAAACTTTCCTGCCAATTGTTCCAGTAGTTGGAAGCTACCAGTTTGTACATCGATACAGGTGGTGGATGTTGAAATGACTGCGACGGTCGCTGGCTGCCGCTGCTCCGCTGAAAGCTGTTCTGCCTTCGTACCGGATAATTGTAAAGAGACACTGAGCTTCAAGTTAAGGCTCATGATTATTTATAAGTTCATTTTCCTTCACATATAGGTAGACTGCTACTGCTGCCTGGTGGCCACGAACTGCAGCCTCTCACACACTACTAGGTACCTACCTAGTAGTTATTACCGCTGTTTGCAAGGGCCTACTAAGGGACAGCCCCTGTACCTTACTTAGTACCTGTAGGTTAGCAGCCACCACACCTTGATGGCTGCGCAAGCAAACTGCCCCTGTAGCTGTCTTGACGTAGCTTGAACCCTCGCACCACAGTCTTCAGTCTTCTTTTTCATCACCATCGTTAATACCGCGTCGCCTGCTTCCGCTCGCATCTGCTCGCTCGCCATCTGTATTTCTGCTCTCTCAGAACAGCAGCCGCAACTACCAGCCTCGCGCCCCAATACCATGCTATACCCTCCCCGCCGCTGAACGAGCCACACTTCCTCGAGTCGTCCTTCGTCCTTCATCGTCGTCGGTCCTCCCCGCCATGGCTCCCGCACGACGTTCCGGTCCGCCCTCCTCCTCAGTCTCGACCGTCCTCGCCGCGAACGCGCTCCCGCCCCTCTCAGCCCTCTTCCTCATCAACTTTGACGTCAAGGCCGGCTACACCATTGTCTGGAAGCGCGCCGCCCCGGCCGTCGAGCTCGAAGGGCTCGTCGAGTACAAGTCGCTTCCCTCGGGCCTCCACACCGTCGCCGATGACCTCATCTACTTTGTCCATGACGCCGGCCACGCCGGCCTAAGCGCCTTTGTCAATCAGCCCACCGACGAGGAGGAGCTGCGCAACGCCCGCATGATTGCCGTCGGCATCCTCGTCCCGCTGAGCTATGGCCGTCTGGGCCGCGCCTGGCGGCATGCCGAGAATCTCAAGGACATGGCCGCGTACGTCGTGACAACAAAACCCGTGCTGGCGCGCGTATTTCGTGTACGCGGGCGATTGGTCATGGCTAATCTGAATTACACAGGAAACTTGCCAAGGATGCGTCGCAGACAAAACTCCTCGAACAATACTGGGACCAGCATCAGGCCTCTGCCGACAGTGCCCGAAAGTCGCCAGTCCCAAGTCTACCTGCCTCGCCCGTTCAGGACCGCCGAGGACACAAACGCAATAGATCGGCATCCGACGGCGCCGCCCTTTCTGCAGGACCTTCCGAACACAAGCTCTCTGCATACCATCCCGCTTGGAGTCTAGCGACCATGCTCGACACACTTGGACCTCTGGTCTTTCCCATATATCGCGCTGCCCTCTTACGGAAACGTATCCTGATATCGTCCCACGCTCCCGTTCACCAGATGTGTGACTTTGGTACGTCCACGTGCTCCTTGTATATGCACCTCCCCTAACACCGTGCACACAGTATATAATCTCTCTGTTCTATCAAACATACCCCTCTCCATCGCCGACGACCTCCCCCCTTCTTCTGCTTCCGCCCGCCTTCGACCTCTCTTCACAATCGGTGTCCATGATATCCCCTTCCTAGTCCAAGACGCCAAGGCCGCCAAACGTCAGCGCCTCAACCCCGATGTCGACGACGAGTCCGGTTCCGGCTGGATCGCCTGTACCACCGACAGCATCCTTGCTGTCAAGGACACGCTATGGGACATGCTCATCACCATGCCGCCCGAGCACACCGTCAGCACAAGGGAACGGGCGTGGCCTGTGGTGGAGTGCCCACGCGGCACACCCGTCAAAGCCACCCAGCGTGATCTGCGACGATTCAATGCACTGCGCGCCGGCCTCGCGCAACTAGTCGCCAACGAGGACCATGACGCGCCACGACCCAACTCGCACGCCTCGGACCGGTCCCCCGTCCGGCTCTCCACGAGCCACTCGGCCCGTCTGGTACGGGACGACGGCGACGAGTCCATGGACAACATTGTAGAGCCCCCAAGCTGGTCCGCCCTCGCCTACAACGGCTTCATGTGGTGGGCGAGCGCCGGCGAGCAGATTCGCTCCGAGGAGCAGGAGGAATCGGCCCGCGACGCCGCGCTGCTCGCAGACTTGCGCAGTAGCAGCGGCGCGCCCTCGATGCACGTGCACGCGCCGCCCTCACCGTCCCGCACTACCGACCTCGCCCTCTCCGAGTCCATTGCCTCGCTCACGCGCCACGACGCGTCCGACGGCGGCGGCGACGCCATTGTCGAGCTCGCCATCATTGCCTACTTTCACCGCCTCACCACCCAAATCATCTCCGTGCTCGCCGACATCGTCGAGAGCACCGACGATGAGACGTACCCGCCCGACGAGCCCGAGCGGTACACGGACGCCGACGACGACGATGACGACGACGAGACGGATCTGTTGATGCCTGGTAATGACTCTGCCGATACGACGGTGCGAGTAGATGACGACGTCTGCCAAGACTTCGAGGCGATTAAGATTGACAGCCACGCCATGGAGAGCATGGGCCTCGACGTCTGGAGCACAGGCGACGCCGGCTTTGTGCAGAACCTCGCTCAGCACTACTTTATGCGCGACGCGACGATTGAGACCAAGGGTGTGGAAGTCTGCGGTGTACGAGTGTGCTAGCTTCTCTTTTGCCATTGTATCCTGTATCCCTCTTGTTATACCATCTATATCCTGTCTACACCACAAGACGGCTTCTTTCGTCGTCTTCTCTCATTCACTGTTGTTCATTCACTGTACTTTTTTTTTTCCATATCGGGGAGACTGCGAGAATAGAACTTTGCATGATATGCCATTGTATTTCTTTCCTCTTGGACGAGGCTCGAGTTTCCATATACAATTACAAGGATTCGCATCGCCTTTTCCATTGCTGATTTCGCATGTCAGGGACCGGAATCCTGTTGAGTAGGTGTTTTTGCTTTGCTTGTGTCTCTCTCTCTTCTGTGACGGCCCATGTGCTTTTCTTCTCCCTTATGCCATCAAATATTGTATATGTAAACCATCCCAACATTAACGAAAAAAAAAATTAATTCCCGAAAAAAGAAAACTGCAAAAAGAATCATCCATTCTGCCTTGTCTACATCACACACACTCCCACACACGCCGCACCATCTATGATTCGTCCTCGGTATCTGTGTTAGTGTCGCTCGTGTCATCGGCGTCGTCGTCTGTGCCACTCTCCTCGTCCGAATCGTCGTCGTCATGCGACTGCTTCTTCCGCCTCGTCGATTGGGGAGCCTGCCCAGTCTTCATGGCGTTCATCTGGCCAGCGATGGAATCTGCAACAAACAAAAGTTAGCTTTTCTATTCTCGATACATGTCATTGGCAGAACAACGCAAGACGTACCCTCTTCAGGCTCGCTGATGTCGTCCTCGGCCTCCATCTCGGCGGCCTTGCTCGCCTCCTCGACGACGAGTGTCACCTCCATCTTGGTGTCGAAGCCGACATACGAGTCGCAGACGACGTGCATGACAAACGTGTAGTGGCCGGCCTGGGGCGGGGCGGCAAACTGGGCCTTGAGGGTCTGCATGGCAAAGGTGGGCTTGCCATTGTCGTCCACAATGGGCTGGTCGAATTGGTCAAAGATAAAGGGCGGAACTGCGAGCTTGCCCTGCTTAGAGTCACTGAGGAAGGCGTACCACTTGGGGGTGTGCTCCCGGGCATAGTGAGGGGCAAAGGCTTTGGGCGGGGTGAACGTTTGCGCCTCGACTGAGACGGGCTTTCCGTCGGGGCCCTTGACTGTCTTCTTCTTGCGACCCATGAGCGCCTCAAGGTCATCCTCGGCCGGGTCCACGTCCTCGAGGTCCAGCTCGTTGACGGCAGGGACCTTTTCAGTGCCCGGGGGGATGAAGCGGCCCTTGATGACCAGGCTGACGAGCGACGAGGGGATGATGCAGCGCTCGCCGGTGACCTTGAAAAAGGCCTTTGCGACGCGGAGGTAGGGGATTTGCTTGCCGACGGTGACGCTAGTTTTGTACTGCTCTTCCGTGAGGCGGCCGCTGCCGACGGCAAGCTGACGGCGTTGCGCGTCGGGCAGGTCCATGAACTGCTGGACGGTCATGTGCGTCTTAGAGTCGCCCTCCACCTCCATGGCGACCTTTGGGGTAAAGTGCGGGAGCTGCAGGAGCGGCGAGGCCTTGGGAGGGATGGCCTGGATCAGGTGCTGGTTGGCAAGGAATGAGCCATTGATAGGGCCAATGTTTCCGTAGGCGAGCGCAATGGCGGCAAAGGATTTGTTAAGAGTGCGGGCGATGGGGACAATCTCGTACTTGGCCTTGGTGAGCGCGGCATCGTCGAGCTCGACGCGGCCGAGATAGGCCCAAAGGAGCGCCAGAGCCTTGCGACGCACACCGTTATCGAGGTCCTCGAGCTTCTGCTTGTCCTTGATGGCAAAGCCAGCCGCAAAGAGCGAGGCATCTCCGGCTGCGGAGATGCGTGATTCAATCTTGGCGAGCCCAGACTCGGCAAGGTCGCCGCGGAGGACCTGGTCGTACTCCTTGCCGGCGGAGAGGGCGCCGATGATGCCGCCCTCATCCATGGTCTCGTCGTACTGGCGGAACAGGTTGTTGGCACTCTCCATGAGGATGCCCTCCTTGGAACGGCGGATCGTGCCGTACCACCAGGAGCCGACGAGGTACGGCAGGAGGATGCCGAGGAGACCTGTGTAGAGAAGAATGAGGAACTTGCCGTTACCGTCGGATATGATCCACTGCGGCAGCGCAATACCGATACTGAAGCTCTGCTTGCCGTCGGGGTGGCCGAACTGGATGTAGTTGTTGCGTATCTCCTCGTCGGTGAGGGCTTGATACGCCTTGGTGAGCTCGACATAGTGGTTGTTGAGCGACTCGACCGTTTCGTTCTTGGCGGCGTCGGGCCGGACCTTGTCAGGGTGGAACTTGATGGATAGTTTTCGGAAGTGGTTCTTGATTTGCTTCTCATCCAATGACTGCGGAAAAAAATGGTTAGCATTCACAAGGCAAAAGTCTTTAGAGCCCGCCTCATTGTGCGTGTCTCGAGCACGTACGTCTGAGATGCCGAGAATGTCATAGGGGTTCCAGAGCTTGTGGACGACGGGCGTCGTCGTCATGATGAGGTAGGTCATGGCGCCCATGAGGGCCCAGCCGGCGATGGCGACAATGGCGCGCTTGATCCGGCGCTGCTTGCGCTTCTGCGTGGCTCGCAGCGCATCGACAACGTTGGCATGCGTGTGCTTGTAGTCGGTCTGGATGGCCGGCGCCTGCTTGCCGGCGTCGCTGCCGCTGCGTAGGAGCGAGTACGTCAGCGGGAGCGTGACGAGGCCGGAGAGGGTGAGGATGAAGAAGGGGAAGAATTGAGCCTGGGTGCGCGGGGAGAATGACGACGGTTAGCATAGTTGTCCGATTGCCCAGGACAGGCGAGACGGAGTCGGTCATGGAGGACTCACCTCGGTATCGTATGAGTAGTCGGAACTCATCTTGGTGGCTGCCGGTCAGGACTAAGCCTGCCAATGGTTACAAGGCGAAATTGCGTAGAAGAGGCACGGAAGAGGGAAACGGGCTGCTGGCTGAGGGTATCCAGAAATTCGAGGGGTGCTGGCGCGACTGTACAATGGCAAAGTCGCTGCCAATCGGGCCACGTTGGAAGACGAAATGGAGAAGAAGGGGAAAAAGTATTGGTTATCGATGGGAAAGGGAGGAACTGCAAGGACTCTGTTCAATGTGTCACGAAACAAAGCGCTGGTCGTAGTTACGGTTCCTACGCTAGATGAGGTGTACCTGATAGTAATGTGGTGGTTTCCAGAAGGCCAGCTAACAAGGTCGGGCGATCGGATTATCCGTGGCCCTCCTCCCCACAAAGCCGCCACGGTGTTCTCAACTGGGTCGTGGTGCGGGTAGCGTCAGCCCGGCTTTAACAACACTAACGAAGGGTCGACTTATTATTTATGCTTGTGTCAGAGAGGGTTTTCCTTTCAGTTACATCAACAGAGCCAGACAAAAAAAAAAAAAAGCGAAAGAAGAGACAGCAGGAGGGATAGTTTTCACCCGGGCGGGACTAGGCGGTCCTTTGCCACGGGTTTCCAGCCCTCAGAAATCATTGAGGTACTAGAAAGACACAGAAGAGTCTGTTTATAATTAGAGGAATTTAATAAATATATGTAGGAACTAATACTACAGTCATGACAGCACTGGTGTAACCCCCTTCCCTGGCTGCCACTGGGTTGCTCTCCTGTGTCATGAACGCATATCCAACCCATGCACTATCAAATCAGTCGAATTAGCAATGTTATACTATTTCATAGTCTAATAATCATTCTAGAAAAAAAGAGTCGCTACCCAATTCAGCGCCGAACCAGACACTGTGTGCTCAGTCTATCTTGGTCAACCCAACGCAGCAAAGTCAGAACAAGAATAATGTCCTTGCTGTTTCTACCTCGTCTTGATAAACAGTCCCGCGTCTTCCTCCGCCGTCCCTTCCTTTTCATCCTCCACGATAACCTCCTCCTCCAAGTCCGTCGTCTCCTCCTCCGTCGTGCCACCCACACCCGCACCGCCACCACCCGCCGTCATCATCTCGCCTACCAGTATGCTCCTCAAATCATCCTCGCTCAAAATCCTCTCCAGGCTGCCCCGGCGCACCCACGGCCGCGACTCGGTCCGTCCCTGGTCCACCAGGCGTTCCACCTTGAGCCGGTTCTGGATAAACTTGAGCGCCGGGAACGCGCCTTGGCGGCCCTCGTGCAGCATGCGCGCCAGCCGCGCCGGGTCCGGGTCCGACAGAATGTACCAGAAGTCCGCCGCCACCGCCTTGGGCCAGATGGTGACGGTGCCGCTGAATTGCTGCAGCCAGAGCTGGCTCCAGTCCTGGCCGAGCGGCCGTGGCAGCAGCTCGGCATGCCGCACGAAGCGCAGCCACTTGTTCATGTCGAGCTTGAGGTAGTGCTCCATCGCCGACATGAGGAAGCCGCCGCGCCACCCGCGGCCCTTGCGGTGCGTCACCGGGTGGCCCACGCTGCCCCGCGACGAGAAGAAGAAGAGGTTGACGTGCGGGTTCACCTGGCTGACGACGGTGAAGTTGACGTTGAAGTGCGTGTTGAGCGCCTTGATAGGAATATCGGTCCGCAGGCTGCCGTCCTTCCACTTGTGCCCAAACGAGTACGGCGCCAGCGTGCCATCGCGCTTCTTCATCATGAGCACCACGGGATTCAAGATCCCTGGCACTGCCGCCGACGCCAGCACCGCCGACCAAATGACGCAGTCGGGGCTCGTTAGGTAGTTGCAGAGAATCGTCGGCGAGTGCGGGTCGGCTGGCACGCAACTGACGTTGAGGATGCGTCCTGTCCGCGCATATGCCTCACGAAAGGTCATGGAGCCCCGCGTCCACCAGCTGCACTGCGCTGCCCATTGCACGGAGTCGAACCGCGCGCCCGTTCGCCACCACCGTGGGAACCATGTCGAGAAGCCTTCGGAGCAGGCGGTAATCTGCGAGGCGAGCGCCGGCACAAGAAGTTGCTTCAACTCCTCGTTGTTCCGCGTCGCGACGAGGCCCGCGATGAGAGCGCCGCCGCTGGTGCCCGTGATGACGTCCGGGAGCAGGTCCGCGTCTAGCAGCGCTCGAACGAGGCCAAAGTGGTAGTACGCAAAGCTTGCGCCGCCAGATAGACAGAGCGCCGTCCGTCCAAAGTTGGCCTGCACGTGCTTGAAGAGGACTCTCTTTTCCTCCATTGTAAGTTGCTTTGTCCTGAGCAGAAATCCAAGGCTTCTTTCCACTATGTCTATTGTAAGCGTCTGTAATCATGTCTTCCAGTCAAAGCAAAGGATCAACTTACCCTCGTCGACAAAATTTTGAACCAGATTCTTTGTTCCATAGTATGTCTGGCTGTACAGCTTCGGGTTGTCAATGCCAACAAAGTTATTTTTGACACAGGCCTCCGTGAGCGCCTTGAGCTCCTCCACGGCCCTAATCCCATCACCACTGATGCTCTTACTCGCCCTGGCGGCCGCTGACGTCGCATTCTTCTCCTCTGCCTCCGCCTTGGCCCTCGTCTTCTTCATCTGGTCCCAGACGCGCTTGACCGTCTTGCTGTCGTAGTACGCAAAGTCATTCTCCTCGCGCCACGTCTTACGGCCGAGATACGCGTCCAGTGCCCGCGCCCCACGCACCCATTCCTGGTACGTCGTGGCACGGCGCAGCTCCCGGCGCAGTCCCGCGCGCGCACCGCGCCACGTAAAGAACTGCTCGTAGACGACAATGTAGAAGCGTGTCAGCAGATACAGAACCCCTAGTACCAGCAGCCAGCCGACTACAAAGAGCAGCAGTGGCCACTTGGCGAGCAGGTACAGGTACCCGTCGCGCGTCTCGTCCTTGCTGCGCGTGCCCAGCAGGCCCTCAACAGCGCGCTTCGCCTGCCTGCGCTTTTTCTTCCTCGGGACTGCAGTCGCCGCCGCCGCCGCCGGCGGCTGCTTGCGTTTGCTCGAGCGGTAAAATCGCGAGCTGATGGGTGCCCAGTCGTTTTGCGCCGTGACAAACGTCCCGTGTCCGCCGGGTGCTGGTGAAGATGCGCGCGCCGGGGTGGCCCCGACGCCGTTATCAAAATCGCCATTTGCCGCCGCTGCTGCTGCCGCCGTTGCCAGCGCGCTGCTACTGTCTGCAGTCTCATCGTCGGCGCCCCAGCCGAGGCTCTGCGAGTCGCGCCGCGTGATGCTAAAGGAGCCAGGGCTCTTGGGTGAACGCAGCGCATCGTGCGAGCCGTTGTGCTGGTGCTGTTGTGCTAGGTTCTGCGTGGCGTTTTGGTCAGGTGCCTGCAGCGCCGTTTCAAAGGCGGCGATGTCGGCGGCGGATATGAATTGGTGGTTCGCATCGGGGAGGCGCGTCGTGTCAAACGCATCGGGAGGAAATCCGTAATTGGGCGGCAGAGACCAGGGGGGTGGTGATGCCGTCGTGGTCTTGGAGGACGCCGCCTTGGGCTTTGGCTGGTCGCTGCCCTTGTTCGGCATGGCTGTTGTTGATCTCGCCAGGCGAGGCCGAGCCTCTAAATCATTGCCCGAGCTGAGAGGTTGGTGGAGAATGCAGCTCGAAAGGGTTATAGTAGAGAGGTTTTATGCAGCGCGATGCAACGGATATGGACGTTTTGATAAACCAGGAAACGCAGGGCAATGGCAATGTCGCAGGCCAAGTGAGATGATGTTTCCCGCCGGATTGCCCTCCATGACGTCGGGTGACATAAACGTTCTGTTGGGGAGGCTCTGCGCTGAGCGGGTCCTCCTTGGCAAGCGCACGGCGACATCAGACCGGCAGCACGGCCTCCCGGCGCAACTCATGGGGCATCTCGTCATCCATTGAACTCTCAATGTCAACCTCATAGTCTTGAACATGTTGGGAACTTTTGGTACGACTTGCTTTTTAGACATGATTCACTGGCAGAAAACCGCAATTCACGTACAAGTGACCGATGCATACAGTGACGGTTTCAGTATTATTATAGTTTTTTTTTACTACCAATCTTCGCCAAAGGAGAATGCTGAGTCTCATAAAAACATTTCTTAATCGCACAAGTGGCTCTTTCCCTCACTCTCCGCCTCACCACTAGACGTACTGAGAAAGCCAGCGGATGCCGTCGCCGTAACCCTGGCGCATGACTACCGAGCACATGAACACCTCGATCGGGCGGATGCCCTCCAGAGGCACCTTGCCTTTGCCGGTCGTCTGGTACAGCCCGAGTTCGTGGCGGAGGGTATCCTCGGGGACGGCGCTGGGGTGGTCGATCTTGTTGCCAAGAATGACAAAGGGCACCTTGGAGAGCTCCTCCATCGCGAGCAGGGCGTCGAGCTCTGCCTTGGCCTCGGCGAATCGCTCCGTGTCCTTGGCATCGACGAGGAACACGACGCCATTCACTTCCGGGAAGTAGTCTCTCCAGATACGGCGGGCTATCATCGTCGCGGGCATATGTCGTTAGCGTTTGCCGTTGTAATGGTTGGGTCCGGGGACCGGCGCAGCAAGACATCGGCACGGGGTCGTTACGACTCACCTTGGGGATGACCGCCGAGATCGAATGTGGTAAATCGCACATTGCCGATAGCGAGTTCCTCAGAGGCTGCACGCTGCAGGTTAGTCTTCTGTCCCAACTTCTCAAGTGTACGGCCTCGGAACTCACTAGGATGGAGAGTGGGCTGCAGAACAGCGACGCGGTCGTTCTAAATCATCCAAGCATCAGCAACCTATATTCCGACGGCGTTTCTCTCCATCGCTCCGTCGAATGTAGACCGGTGCCTTTCTGGTCCGTGGTCGCGTACGCGGGTATCGTTTCGAGCAGCGGGTGGGCGTCGTCATCTAACCTTGAGCATGTGCAGGAGCGTCGTCTTTCCAGCATTGTCGAGACCGAGGAACAGAAGCTTGGCGTGCTTGTTGAGCAGACCAAGCGACGACAAGACGTCGTAGACTATTTCATCGTCGCCGCACGTGTCAGTAACGGGAGAGCGGGCCTAAAGGGGCATGGCGGACGAGCCCGGCAAAACGAGCGAAGCATCGAGAGATGTTGTCGCTTGTGCCAAGGGGGAACAAATGATAGGACGTAACATACACCAGTTCACAATCCACATGTTGGTCGGGCGTTTGGGGGCGTTTTCGGTATAGGTGTTGTGGCGAAGGGAGGATGCTGGGCTTGGATGGATACGTGGTGGTTCAGTGTGGTTCAGGCCTTGGACCTTGTTGCCTCGGAAGAATAGCGCGGATTATTTAGGTGCTACGTTATGCTGACTACTGCCTGCTTGCTGGGCAGCTGTGGCGCTGTGATTTGGTGCGGCCAGTGTTGTTGCCTAGATATTCAGGCCACCAGATCTGCCACAAGCAATGGCAAGTTGCGAAGTTCTCATCAGGCTCTCTGAAAAGTGGCTAATAAAGCAGAGGTCACTGTGCAAATAGCAATTCAGCAGGTCGCAAGCTCAGTGGTTGGTTTTTTGAGTACGTGTATTGGCTCCAGTTACTATGCTCTATCACGTCACATATTCGTTGAAGATTCAGCTTTCAAATGTTTCGTATACAAGCAAGTGTGGGGGGGGAAAGGCCACAGACGTTTGGAAGATGAATAGTGTTGAATCGATATACACATAATAGTGAAGCCGTAAATAGAAAAAGGTATGTACAAATTGTATAGAAAAGAAATATATGCATGAAGATTGTCACAACAAGTGACAAGCTGGGAAATTTCAGTAAAACATGGTAAGCAACCTGGTGGTATATGACATCCAGTCATCCAGCGCCGTGCGATGCAAATTTGATATGTGACAATGAAAAAAAAAAATTTGACCTCTGCGAGAGGCCATTATAACAAGAGTGTTGAATGTGGGCAGAGTGTGTACTTAGACAGACAGCACATAGTTGCCAGGATCCTTTTTGCCAGCCATGAGCAACCCGACTTCCTTCATGCGCTCAGCTCCTCGGCCGGGTTGCGTCTTCCGCTCGGGAATTTGGCCACGTCGAGCTTTGTTGCAGTACTTCTGATTGAATTTCTCCTTGCGCCTCTGGCGTTTCTTCTCCAGCCCCTTGACAATGTCGACAGCACCACGGACGTGAATCTCGTCGTCCAGCCGCTTGGGAGCCCTGTGCGACTTCATGCGGAACATGGCAGCTGGCCGCGGTAGCGACTTGGTATGAGTCACGTCAGGGCGTCCAGCAAGGTTAAATTGAACAAGTTCGCCCTGGCGTGGAGACTGGAGGGGTGTGGTGAGAGCGGGGGGCGCAGGTGAGCGCATCCGGCGAGGCGAGCGACGATCGAAAAGAGGCTTTGGGGAACGACCACGGCCCTTGGGGGCCGGTGACAGGCGCCGTTTAGGCGGTGGCGAATGATATTTGCGAGGCGAACCCTGCTCACTCTTTCTACGACGGCGAGATCTATCGTCGTGGTGAATATCGTCCATCTTGGCGGGCATCCAAGAAGCCTCCTCGCTACCGATACGACGATCATCATCGTCATCGTCATCGTCATTCTCAGGATCCGAGGTTGGGAAGCTGGGGTCGATATCTTGAGGGATTAGGCGCAGCTTTTCACTTCGGCGAGCGGCCAGGCAAGACATGTATGCCTCCTCCAAGGGTCGATCCTCGTCCAGCGTACCACACACGAAGTCAGTGCTGTCGGGCAGGTCATGTGCCTCATGATCCGAGTGAATATTGCGAGGCTTGGAGCGGCGGCCAACCTTGCGGCTCTGGTTGGAGATAGTGGAGCAATCAGAAAGCTGGGACGCAGCTGAAGGGCGGCGAACAATGGGAGTGCTGGAGTTGTGGCCGACAGCATTGCCATAGCCAGGCGTCCAGAGAATCATGTTCTCGTCCTCCTCGTCGTCGTCAGAATCAGCAAAACCGGTTTCCTCATCAGTGGTGTAGCCGTCGCAGTCATCGAGATCTTCTTCGTCCCGGTCCTGGTCCTCGTCGTCTTCATCATCCTCGTCCTCGGAGTTACCATCCTGGCCATCCTCGTCATCGTCATCCTCATCTGCATTCTCATTCTTGTCGTCGGCTTCTTCTAGAAGAGCCTCCTCTTCAGCCTCATCAGCCAGGCGGCGGAAATTGTTTTCCTTAGTGAGAGTATCGTTGATGGTGAGCTTGGCGCGGATGGTAGAGCTGTTGTCCTGGCGTATCCAATCGTCTTCACGAGAGATGCCACTGGCAAATTCATGGAACTGAGAGGAGTCCTTGACGAGATCCATTGAGTTGGCACGCAGGAATTTGGGTCGGGAGACTGGCGGTACATTAGACGGACGACGCACGGTAACGGGACTGGCAGCCAAAGCAGCTGAAAGAGCCGAGATCTTCTTGGGAGTGGATGGCGACTCGGTAGCGGGACGCGAGGTTGGTGCAACGGTAAACTCTGAGGCTCCAGGAGGGGTGTTTGGAGTCCCCGTGGGGCGAGGCGGGCAAGCAAAGCGGATGCATGAACGACGCGGTTCCTGTGACGCGGCGACCTTGTCAGAAGTGACCGGGTTGACGGGAGCATCTGGCGGGGGTTTCGCAGCACAGGCAAACTGGATGCAGCGTTTGCGAGGGGCCTCTTTCGGGGGTTCCTGGGTTTGTAACTCGGCGGTGTTACTCTGGACGACGGCATTGGGGCTAATGCGGAACCCTTGTCGGTTGAGGCGAAGCATGGCCATCTCGGGGATGGGAGGACTAGGCGTGTTGGTGCGGGAAGGGCTTGTCTGGCCCGTGTCACTGGTGAGGTCGGCAGTAGAGGCGATGCTGACGGTGCTGGCCATGGAGCGACGGCGCAGGCTGCCGGTGGAGAGGATGGAGCGAGGAGGTTCGCGGAAATCATCGTGATCCTGTTCCTTGAATGCCTTGGTGAGGAGGGAAGGCTGCTCAGAGGCTCTCCGAATGGGGGCTCTTTGGAACTTCTGGGGTCGAGGGTGGTGAAGCTTTATCTCGGGGGGTTCATCGAGGTCGTCGTCTTCGGTTGTTTGGGCAGCCCAGGTGGGCGCCTGTGCTATTGTGTCTGAGCTATTCATGGCGTACAGTGATGGGTGACGGTACGTGATGGTGTAACAAAAAATAGGTGGTCGGTCAACGACACAGGAATTCGCAAAAAGCGTGTTTCCTTGGTGGCAAGGAGCGTGTAGCGGTAGGCGTCAAGGGCGTGTCGCTTGTAGCCGAAGTAGATGTTGGGTGGGTGAGGCGTGAGTAGACGAGACTTGTATGCCAGTACAGTGCCTCTACGAGCTTGAAACAAAGCTGGTTGTTTTTTCAAGCGTTGAGAAGTGTCCCTGAGGACGGTTGGGTTATAAGGTACAGACGGTCATCGTCAAGTCAATATGCAGTAGAAGAGTAGGTGGTGATGAGGTCCGCAGGAGAGGCCCGTGAAGATTGCCAAGTCGAGGCCAGAGCAAGGCGCAGCAGTGGGGAGAGATGACTCTTGAGAAAATCGAAGAATGGCCACGAGGAGGCTGAGATGAGGAATGGCGCGTCGTCGTGGTAAAGCAACGGTAGAAAAGGCTTGGCGGTAATGGCAATTGAAATGACGTTTAAGCCGGAGGAAGGGCTAGGAAGTGGCGAGTAATAATACCTGGGTAGTAGGTAGAGGGAGTATAGAGGGTATTCGATGACTGTTGTGGGTGGCTGTGTGGTGGGCAGGAGGGGATTTGAGTGCGCCTTGTAGGGGCGTAGCAGGGTGACAGGCTGTGGTGGTTGTGGTGGACGCTGGTGGTGGTTGTCTGCTGCTTGTGCTGCTTGCAGGCGGGCCCCAAAACGGCAAGAGTTTAAATCGATCTTGTCTCAGCGGTCTTGGCAGAGCGATGCAGGGGATGCAGGGGAGCAAGTCGTCGAGGTCTGCAACCGTTCACTGATGAGAGCAAAGGAGAAGAGAGAAAAGGATGTCGGATGCAGACTTGTCCAGTTGGGAGAGTGTGATGGAGAAAGGAGGAAAGGGAAAGGACGAAAAAAGTCGAGGAAGAGAGGCAAACGGCGAGTCGAGTGCGAGTGAGCGGGACGAGCATACGAATGCTGGGCCCCGAAGAATATATTGGCGGCCGTAGGCGGCGGCGGCGGGCTCGCAGCATGTCGACAGGGCTGGTGGGACGCCAGCCAGGTTCCAGTGTTTCGATGCGCATGCACAGTGGGCTGCGAGCCGGTGGATGCCATGAGCGATTGGGGGGGGGGGGATGGAAAGCAAGAAAAAATACGGATAAGAATAAACGAATAAACTGATTAATGGTACCGGTGTACCTGGATTGCCGGTGGGGGACTCGCTTCATCAAGAGGTACCCTAGTAGGCCACCAGTACACAGATGTTTAGCTACATTGTCTCTGGTGGGCACCACGCGAGACCAGAAAACACTGTTTTTGACAGTGGGCAGATGCTCCATCGGGCTTGGCTGAGTGGTCGTTCTGCCACAGTGCGCACAAGACTTTTATTACTGGACTCGCCGCTAGGAGGAACTCGGAGGCTTGCTTGTACTGGAAACTCTGCTGTAGCTTGGGCAACAGGGTCCGCTGTAATTCTCTTTGAGTGAGGCGAGTAGTTACGGCTGGTGTATTACCAATACACCGCAGGTGCAAACAACAGTGCCTAGACTTGGCTGAATAATGGAATCTGCATCGCAGCAAGCATTGACGAATTACGTTTCGCTTCTCTTCTCTTCTTTCCGCTGTTCATTCACTGCCTCTTTGGCGGCACCACAGCAATGCTCTCCAGGACTTCGCGCCGCCTCTCGCACACCGGCCCACAGCGCGCTATGCTACAGCGAGCAACAATGACTGCGGGCTCTAGGCAGGTGGGCGGTGCGCATCTAGCTTAGTATTACAGAAGACGCGTCGTTGCAGGGCCGAAAAAAAAAACATAAATTTCCAGTGAGCCAGCGGGCATGGAAAATGGCGCTGTGGAGCCCTATTTTGTGGTTGCACTGTTAGAACACCGCAGTGACTGGATCCAGCTGGTATTTTTCACCCCGAGTAAACGTTCGGCCAACCTTGGTTGGGTTAGACACTGTGCGCAACACGGTGCAGCCTCGGGACCAAGCCTGCCCACTAACTAGAAGGAAAAATAAACTGGGCATCGCACAGCGGCCGCGCGCAGAGGGGAAATGCCTCATCTGCACGTGTCGTGCAGCCCGCTTTCGGTGGCCGAGGCCATCCGCCTTGCGCGCTGCGACTCGCTCGCCACAAGCCGCACTGTGCGGCTGAGCAGACAGACTTTTCTGGCCCTCCCCTCCACTGTAACAGACTTAGTACCTGTTTACAAGGCGCTCTCCTCCTGAAAAAAACGTACGGAGCATTTTCAGCGGATGCTCACCGCCCGGCGACATTGCCGGCTTTCCTTTCGGTTCTCACGGCCGGCCTTGCCTTGCACAGACAGAAATCGCCTAGCGAAATCTTCTTTTTTTGGTCTTCGTCCCCTGTTACCTTATCCTCGGTCAAGTTGTCAATGCTCGTCTGGCCCACTGCCCTGGGTCTCTCATTTCCAATACCTGCTTCACCATTAGCCGGTTGTCCATCGTCCCGTTTATGCCCTGACCGTAATATCATATTATTCGTATATCCATCGAAATCAGTGTGTCTGGCACACCAGCAGTCTCTGATACACTGTCCTCTGCAACCTTGGTTAGCTCCAACGTTCCTCGTCGGATCCTTGCCATGTTGGCTCCCACGACGACGCTATTACTACAAGACGCACGTCTCTTTCGCCGCCTTGGCTAATACCGTCCGTATCAGTATCACACACAGTATTACGCACATCCCATTCCTACGGTACAAGCCGCAAACCTTGTTCCCAACGCTGTGTAAGACGCGGTTGACAGGGTCAGACTTGAATCTCACGCTAGCCTAGTGAGACACGACAAAGCTGCAGTCTGCAGGAGCCCGTTCTAGCGAGAGTAAGACGTACATGGGCGAATGGCGAATAAGTTGACGCCCTGCCTTTGCATGGATCTTTATTTCTGTTGGAGGATCGGCGCCTACCCGGGCCTGCAATTCGCAACAAAGGAAAAACTCCCCGCCCTTGACAAGCCATATGTCTCAAACAGCGGAAATTCAGCGAAACGGACGGCAGGAACTCGATAACTACATACAAGGGTCCTCCTGATCGTTCCTCGTCCGGCTGTCCGCGTTGACCAATGACGGCTACCGAGGCATGCTGGCACCTCACGCCACAACACGCTAACTGCCGTCCTCAACCACCACCTACGTAGCCATGGAGCCTCGTCTGCTCCTTCGACCTCGATGGCAACATGGCCGAAACGGGATATACTGGTGCCAGCTAACGATTAGTGGCAACCCTCACCTCACAACGCCCTTTCACTGGACGAGGCATGGGACGGCCGGCGCCAGCTCATGCACCCCAGCCTCGAACTCCCTCATGAGGTTAAGCCTATGTATGTACCAGACAGGACACATGAGCATCTGATGCCCTCCAATGAGTGGGCGAGGGGAGGATGGACAAAATGGAGGGATCGGCTCGTGTTTCATTCCACGTTTTGCAGCAACCATCAGTGCACCACTGGTGAGCTATACTGATAGTTGCATTCCGGATTAGCATCAGCCAAGAGAAATAGAGTGCATGCTCATTTCGCAAGGCTGGTTGGGAGACCAGCACCGGGATTAGTAGCCTGTCTGTGGAATATCGAACTGAACCGTATTAGACGCCACATAGTAAGTGGTGCAGAGTATCGTGTCACTGCAACAAGACGGAAATGACAAACGACAAGACCCTTGGTACTCGGTACACGCACGAAAGCACCAGGGGTTGCCTGCAGGCCAACTCCGTTGTCCGTCCGCACGGGATTCACCTCGTCTCGCTACGCATCAGGGTTACATCCAGGCTTCGGAGACGGGGCAATCCGGTCCTGATGCTTTGTCTCAAAGAATCGACTTAACCGTAACCATAAGTTAAAAAAGGGGGGAGGGATTAGTTATGACGATGCCTGCCAGGGTTGCAAGGGCATGGGAGCCTGGCAGCACAGGAACTGCCACCTGAACCATTCACCGGAGACTCCAGAACATGGACATTGATTGGGCCAACGAATCATTTCGGCAACGTGAGATGAGATTTCCAAGCCGTCGCAAAAGAGCGCGGCTCTTGCGGGGAAGACTTGCCGGTGACTAGGTCGGCGATGGAGATTGTTCTTTGGCCGATGAGATGGTGGGATTTCGACGTGGCAGTTGGTTGCGCTGGTCCTTGCGCATGCCAAGACGAAGAGATATGTAATTACAGAGTATCCGTACAGGTTTTCAACAGATTGTCGAAAAGCCTCTTGTCAGCTTTTTGGGCGAGAAGCAAGGGGAACCTGGTCACGTCGCGGTTTATTATAGTTGATGACGGCAAACAAGGCAAGCGGGTGCATGAAGCATGCAGGCATGCAGGCAAACAGACAATGCATGCGCAAGTCGAGCGTCTCATACTCTGTCATTATCACCTATGAGCGCTTTTTCTGATACGCTCTTTTACTTTTCTTTATTTACGCCGCCATTCACAGAAGGTAAGTAGATGTATCGCCGACGAAAAAGGGGGTTTCCGAGGGTCCTCACGACGTCACTCCAGCGGTGAACAAGGTCGTGGATATTGCTGGTGGTCAGGAGGGGCGCAATAACTAGTTAGTTATTAATTCCGACAGAATCAGAAGGTTTGCCAAGCTCGATCTGGCAGCTGGGCGGTCCCTAGCTTTAGAATTGTCGCCACGGGCGCTAACTGGGAAATAATACTTGGCGGACTGCTGTTGGATATCCAATCGTGTCGTCGGTCCTCCATTGTCCATGAATAGAGAATGGCCAGTGATATTACTGGTCTGATGGACGGCGTCGCGGCTGTAACTAGTTCAGCAAGCAACTCGGTGGCTGAGGTGTTTGGTAGCATTTTGGTCTTGGCTGGTTGCCTGGTACATGAAGATGTGCTCACCTGACGCTCGACCACGCACGCGTTTGCTTCCCTTTTTATCCGTAGCGTCTTCTTTCTTCTGCCCCGTCTGGTCACGCTGATGAAGAGGACGAGTAGAAAGAATGATCGTCTTGGCCCGTGACGCGCCCGGCCCGACTCCCTCTGCCCCCTTTGCCGCACGCCAAAACAAACCGGTCTGGAAATGTCATGGCGGAACGGGTACTCGGGGCCTCTTGGCAGGTTTTCTTGGCGGCATGACATGTGCAGAGGCAGCCATGCTGTGCGACACCAGTAACAAAAATATATACGTACATGGCTGTCTCACCAGGTGGTGTGTGGTGTCTATTGTGTATGCTGGACCAGCGTGAGCTGAGCTGCATGCTGCCCGGTCTTGCCGCACTGTGTCTGCGTTTCTTCCGTTGGACGAAACGCCGACGCGTTCCGGATGAGGAAAAGCACCATTTCCGATGCCAGCCGTCTGTAATTCGTAATCCGTAGTTCTGTACGTTGGCAGGCTAACCTGTTCAAGGTTGCCGTGATGAACCATATGTATACCATCTGCTACCGGGCTGGGTGGGTTTTTTTTGTTTGGATTTTCGTTTCGCTTATTATTTTCGTCTTGGACTGGCCGACGAGCCCTTACTGGGTCCAGGCCACAAGTGTACGGATAAAATGATAAAATAGTCAGTTGTTGGTTCTAACGAATAAATAGGTCTAATAATAAACGGTACAAAAATGAGAGACAAAATCAGAGTAACACAATCAAAACTTTATCTCAGTTATTATTTTCATGTACCGTACCCTTGGTCAGCTCGGGACAGTCTGCATATAGTTATGGTGGAGACATGACAGCCATCAAAATTCACCATCAACGTCGTCAGGGGGAAGACGGACCATCTGTTCCATCATATCATATTTGCAAAACAACCACCTTGCTCCTCAGGTGTTGCCTACAGTAGCCCTCGAAATACGCCTACTTGACCGTTCCACGCCAACTAGCGGTTCCTTCCTCTTGATCCTCCCGTTCCATCTTCATCTTGACAGCAAAGCGATGCTCATCTCGCAGCCATTGAGAAAGCATGTCGGCATCATATTACGAATCGGTTTCGCAGCAACCCGACGATTGTAACGCTGCGGGCGACGAGTTCTAGACTTTGGTCCTCGTTTCAAGCTCGACAACGCTGCGGTGCCGAGTCCTGTACTTGCTGCTGCTGCTGCTGCTGCTGCTGCTGCTGCACCAACCGACGCCTTGCAAGAACAATACCTAGTTAGGGTATGCACGGATCGTGGCTTATACCAGGAATCTCTACTATCTCTACTCCCCCCCGGCACCATGCGCCTGCAGGTGCACCGCCGCTAATAAACTACGAGTTTTGTCGCTTTTGCGAGTTGCTCTGTCGCCACGCAAGCTAGCGCTGAGTCGGCTGCACCCGTCCCAATTCAACGCAAGCACGCTCCTTGCAGCCACCAACAGGTCTTCAGCTACCATGTGTGCATGAGACTTGCAGAAATGGCTTGCTGGTTTCATCATAGTCGCCGGCCCCGAGCAGCAATAGAAAAAGAAGAAAAAAAGCACAACGGGATCGCCCGTCAACCCGCCTTTCGGGGAAACCTGTCATCACTCCTCGGTCCCCGCCACAAAGCCACGACCGCCGCAGACAAGGGAAGAAAAGCGACAAGTGACCAGCTGCTGCACGATTATGCACAGGATAGACGACTAGCCAGTGGCAGGTGTCGCTAGCTCGTAAACTGTGTCAAGGTTACAGTGCCAGCGAGCGACAAATCACTCTGTATCCGTACCGGTAACTAGACTCCAATGGCCATCCCTGGCTTGGCAGGTCATATGGGTAGATGTTCGTCTAGTCGACATGGCTCGTCTTCTCACGGCGTTTCTCTCCTTCTTCACCACGATTGCCGGGGGCAACCCTCCCCCAATCCACGTCCAATATTAACAGGGCCAGCAGCCACACCATGCGCTGTCACGCTGCCGTGCTACCTCACGCCGCAGCCAGCGGGCCAGCCGAACCCTCTCTCGTCATGTACGAATCTGCAACATGAAGCAACGCCCCGGCCAATAGACTGATGGCGATACCGGACAATTCTCCTCGCGCCTTCTCCCTTTCATCCTTCGCCCCTCGTTGCGGCCCATGCAACGGGGCCAATCCGCTGCCGCAAGCTCGTACCCCGTTGATGTGTTTTGGACCCTCGAAATTTGTCAAGAAAACGGACATCGCCAAGCTCAATTGCGGGCTTGCCAGCGTGTCGCCCCGTCGTGGGGGTGTGGAACGATCGACTCCGCCCGTCCTCCATGTAACATGGAGAAAGGCACCGTGTAATAACTAGTTACTGAGTATTATTAGTACTTGACATACATACCCTACACGGCGAGGGGTACAGTCCCTAATCCGGGCCGTTGGAACAGCACAAAGAAACCAGGTGCTTGGAATTCAGAGTTGAGGGCCTTCTCTGCAAGCTCGGACAAGTCGAGAGCGGCCGTATATTGCTGCGCGCTCTGCCAATTCGACTCTGTGTTGCCATTTCCTTCTTAACGAGCGGGCCACTCCCAGGTCACAAGTGACCGTTCAACGTCTACCCCAATCAAGTAGTTCCAGTTCCATGCAGGCTCTTGCATATCGTGATCAGCATCAGCACCCCTGACGGTATGTAACGGCAATTGATTCGCGACGGACGGGCCCGGCGCGCAGCCTATCCGGACAACCGCGGCCGGCTGTTGCATGCACTATCGCTGATTATACAGCCTCAAGTCCTTTCTACGCGGTCTCAAGGCGACTCGTCGTGCTGTAGTCCCCTTGCAATTATATTTGTATCTTGGTAATGAGTTTTATGATTCTGACTGAGATATGATGCCTTGTGGTAGCGCTTGGCACCTCGCGTCGGAGAAAGAAACTCTGCCGAGCATCGGCTTCACAGCCAAACGTATCCAAGTCACCGAAAGAAACTCATCATGGTAGTCACCATCATGGCAGAATTGTTAGTGTTCAGCCCATACATGGTAAATATCTTGTCCTGTGTCTCATAACACTCTCTCAACTGGGCTTCGTTCACCTGAGAAGTATTTGTGACGACAGCGAGGAACCAAGTTAGATAGTACGAGGACGCGGCTTTGGGCCTGGGAACCGCCATGTGTTGGCCCTGCTCGTCCACGTCCCCCATGTTATACGGTATGCTGGCACATATCCTCTTGAGCAAAAGTATGATATTTTTCTCCGTCATTGCGCTGGTCTTGGTGACCAGGTCCCTCTCCGAGTCGGTCAAGAGGCAATTCGGCAGCTCCAGAATTCGTCGGCTGCAGGACAGAACAGTGGAATAAAAGAGCACAAGGACAGTATCGAAGCCCATCCACATGATGCCCAGCAGCCGGGTCAAGCAAATCATGACGGGTCGGCCGTCTTTTGCACGAGCCATCATTGGCTTCAGCGAACGGTCGAAGCCTCTCACCAGCGTTTCGAATCGAAGCTGGATTCGCCTCGCTCGGTCAATGGCGGATCGAAGGGACTCTGCCTGCTTGTCGGCCGAAATTGGCTCCACGTCCATGTTCCGGACACACCGGGCTGTCTCTATGCAAAACTCGACGGCCCAGCACAGCGCTGCCGCCATACCAGTGGACAGGGTGCTCGTATCGCCCGTGTCCTCTCCGAGGGTGATGCAGTCAAACGTCTCGCCTCTCTTTAGCGTTTCCATTTGCTGCTGACGGTTAGCAAGTCTACTCGGGCCGGGTGGAAGCCGCGCCGCGGTTACGTGCCATGTGTGACAAGGCCCATCGATACAGCGGACCGCGCGAACAAGCTTGCGCGAGGTTCTCTGTCCGGGCAGAGAAGATTTGGCCGATCCCATCGAGATGCGACGGCCGCGCTTTCGTGGCTGAGCCGTGAATGTCCTAGCATGCCCCCATGTCAGCAGTCTGTCCTCCGCTTGCTTGAGCCCTCTGGCAGGATGAGCTTGCCTCGAACAGATTTAGTAGCATAATCACCGCAATCGTATCGTCCTTCCACGCAGCCGCCGGTTCGTTCAGAGTCGTGCTCAGCGCGGAGAGGGCCGCCCCGTAATGCCTGCACGCTTTTCGATACAGGCACGGGGATTTTGTATGGCGCGCCAGGGACAGGCAGCTGGATGCGAGCGACGCTCGGCTCAGTGCCGACCCGGGAGGTGATGTGGCGACGAGATCCGTGAGGAAGTTCAGAAAGCCCGGGAAGAGCCCGGGGCTGGGCGGAATGCAATATTGGTCGATGAAGTACATTGTGGATTCGTCCTCCCACAGGGGCTCGAATTGCCAGCCAAGACGAGAAAGCTGTTGCACTGCCAGGGATAGCCCCTTATGTATCGCGAGAGGAGACTCCTCGCGAGAGTCAGGGCCAGGTGAGGCATCGGCGCAAGGGGAGGAGTCTGTAGCTGAGCTGTTTGGCGCTGGTGTGCTGGAGATGGTCCTTTTCCCCCCAGAGTTTGAACAGCTGGCAGATCGCGAATCTACGTAGAATCGGATGGGCAGAGGTCGATAATAGCCTGGGCATCGGGTTCCATATCGTTGACAACGGCGACAGGCCGGCCGCGTTTCATCGCACTAGTGATACGGAAGAGACGGATGAGGATCCGGAGGGTGTCACGGCTCCAAAAGAATGACATACCTTGACCCGCCGCTTCCGGCATTGCTTGCAGCCAGTACTGAGGCCGTAATTGACCATATCTTGTAACACTGGGGTTTCTTGCAGATTCGATCTGATTGTTGTACAGGGGGGATCCGCGTTGAAGTGGTTGTCCCAGTGGGGTAAAACCCCACGATGGGAAGCTCGGAATGGTTTGTAAATCAGTTTTTTTAGTCATCAAACTAGATCCATCTTGATTGAATCAAAAGAAAGCTTGGTATGTACCTGTCGTCGAGGGCTGAGCCAAGAAATGGCACGACTGGTGGAGGGCTATGCCTGATGAACTAATGGTGGCTTGGTGCGCGCTCGCAAACAGCCATCAGATTGGGAATGGCGGCATTCACTCCCCGCAAAATTTGGTCTGAACTAATCGCCGTCGGCGCACTTCCGGCAGAGGCTGGCTCTCATCCACTAGCTAGTATGTGACGAGTTATGTGGTGGGTATATATCTGACATGTCCATGTGGTAAGTTGCTGTGCCATTCCTAGGTTTTGGCCACGGGAAAGAATTTCCAACAGCCCCCGAGAATTGCACAGGCTACACGGTATTCCAACAGTGCAAGTTGTGGGAAGGCATAGGCTATCATCGTGTCGTCGGGATCTGGTGGAGAGATTCAAGTATGTTCTGTTGAACCTTGAGCGGCAAGAGCCATCAGTGTCAAACGTCGAGGTATGATAGCCATTACCAAAGAAACATAAGCGCCCTAGTTCTAATGATGTCCTCGTCGGGCCAGCCTCTCTACACATCTTGAGGTAATTCATCACCCAGATCTGCCAATTTCGTACGCAGTAGTGCTTCACAAGTCCTCTTCCTTCTTGTCGTGTACTCGTCATCATTGGAGAAAGGCATTGGGAGCTTCAATCTTTTGGCAAGCCAAAGTCCTAGTTATATCTTTCCCGCGGGCACCCACAATACTCGGTCCCCAGCGGACACTCTTCTGCCCTCGTCTCTCAGACCACTCGAAACGAAGGAAAGCCATCCTGCACCTCTTTCTGTGTCCACTTCCGATATTCACCCAGTCCCCCGAAATAAAACTTAGTGCTCGACTTGCGTCCCTCGATGTTGGAACCAAACTCCCAGCTCGCGGTGGACCTGAACAGGGAGTCTTGGACAAGTGCTTCGCACAGCAGATTCCAGTCGCACTCGGCTTCCGCAGAGACCTCGATGACGTGGCTGCCCGCCGCGCGCTCCGAGTGTAGAATGCACTCCATGATGAACTCGGCCTCGCTCTCAATCGTGATAGGGAAGTTGGCAAACGCGCCCTGCGGACCAGACACCATGAACATGTTGGGGAAGCCCGCGCAGGCCACCGCTGCATAGGCAGTCGGGCCACCTTCCCAATGTTTCTCAATTGATTTGCCCTCCCGGCCGCGGATGCTGACGCGCAGATAATTGCCTTCGACGGCGTCGAAGCCTGTTGCGAGAATGAGGACGTCGAGGGGAAATACTTGCCCATCGACCAGTTTAATCCCCTCTGGCACGATGGACTCAATAGGCCGCTCGCGCAGATCAACAATGTCGACATTTTCTTGGTTAAAAATGTTGTAGTAATTGGTGTCACACAATGGCCGCCGGGCGTAGAGGTCCCGAGGTGTGAGCGCCTTGGCTTTGTGAGGGTTCTTGACGATATCCTGGATCTTGGCGCGGAGAAATTTGCATGCCTCCTCGTTGGCCGCTTGGTCCGTCGTCAAATCGCCAAAGGTACTGAACATGAACCGGAAACCGTTGCCCAGATCCCAGGCCTGCTGAAATCTCTGCTGGCGCTCCTCGGGCGACGCCTCCATGGTCTTGCATGTCACCTCGGGCACCCCAAACGCGATTGACGAGGCCCTGACCTGGTGCCAGATCCGTTCGTAATCGGCGTTGATTTTCTCCCTATAACCCTCGGGAATCACCCCTTGTCCGCTCGGGACGGAATATTGTGGGTGGCGCTGGAAAGACACAAGTTTGCCCACCTTGGGGGCGATTGCCGCCATCACTTGTATTCCCGTCGAACCGTTGCCAATGATTCCGACCATCTTCCCATCGAGATTAATCTCCTCGCTCCACTTTGCACTATGAACCAGCTCTTTACCGTACGACTTGAGACCAGGGATGTCGGGGTACTTGGGCCGCGAGAGGAGACCAAGGCAGGTGAGGAGGTAGCGAGCTCGATAGGTGACCTTTTTTGCTTCGCCCGATGGGGTTTCGAGCTGACACGATATGACCCAGTGGTTGCTATGCTCGTCCCACGTAGCAGATGTCATTTCGGTGTTGAATTGCATGTATTTACGCAGGTCGTGCTTGGCGACCACATGGCGCAAATAGTCGAGAATCTCGGGCTGATAGAGGTAGTGTCGATTCCATGGATATGTCTGCAGGTCCTCCTTGTCCCACGAGTAGCGGTATAGATACGATTCGGTGTCGCTCATGGCACCCGGATACCGGTTCCAGTACCAGGTACCGCCGACGTCTCCAGCGACATCGATGCACTGGATGGTCATCTGGGCGCGAGATAAACGGTAGGTACAAAGAATACCTGCGATACCTGCGCCGACAACCAAGGCGTCAATCTCTAGCTGCTGGGTCATTTTCGGGGATTGATAGGCCGAGGATACTAGGTAGCGAGGAAATAAGTTGGCTTGCCGCGCAGCTGTGATGCCAGCTCTCCCAACGTTTCGAAGAGAAGAAAGGACCAAGTACCCCTCTTACTTTTGAGCTGTTGACAATCTGAAGACACGAGTGAGGTGGGGCTCTGGAAATATTGTCTTTTTTTTTTCTGCTTCAGTAACAATTAATTACTTGACATATGCATAACACAACTCGGTTTCCCTGTCTTGGTGAGTGGAGAGTGCGTTGGGTATCTACAGCTTGCAAGTCGGCGACTAGCCCAAGTCCGCAAGAAGATCACGCCTGAGCGTTCATATGATGGGTCAGAACCAAGATACTCGAGGCAGATATAAAAAAAAGGAACTATCAGGCCCCTAGGAAGTAGCCATGATGGGTTGGATGCAGGCTCAGCTTGGCAAGTATTCTCCTCCCTGGTCAGGCCCCGGGACCGATGCCCCGCCGTCACTGCGGGGAACCTTGTTGCATTGTATTGTCCAGCTGCTAGTGAGGTATCATACAGATGAATTGGTACCGGTACTCGCATCGGGCAGATCTGGGAACTTGAGTACAGGCGATGACCCCGCTACCCGGGGTTGGGGTTGATCTAGTCAATGCAACGACAAGTACCATGGCTCATTGTGGGTATTGTGTAACATCTCTAATTCTCGGATAGAGCTGATAGACAGGTATTAGAAAAGTCGACCGTATGCGATTCAACTATGTGCCAAACTGAGCATGACTACCTACGGGCCAGGCTTTCAACAGTCAAGCCGCGGAGTTTCCACCAGTCAAGCCACCGGAGTAGTCACTTGGGGAGTGTGGTGAAGGACGGAAAACAATAATAAAATAGCTAATATATACTTGATTGGAAGTCATCAGGGACTCTTTGCGAATGCGTTTTTATAGCTGACAAATTTATGGCGAGCTATACAGTTGCGGTATTAGTGCTATGATTGGTAAGCTGTAGTTGCAGGCCGGCATTCTGATAGGCTCCCAAGCTCCTTAATTCATTACAGCTGCTACTGTTAGCTAGCGTTTCGTGCACCATTTCATCTCCAAACCATCTCAGTACAATGGCCACCGCTTCGTTCTCTCGTAAGTTGTCTCGCACTGAAGACGTTGGATGGAAGCATTGACTTTCTGGCAGGTTTGATCCGATTTGTACCATGCTCAAATCCCGCGAGTGTCATGATTGGGGAGCCGGATCCTGGCGTCGACATTGGCCATGAACTACGGGAGGGGCGAGATGTTTATGTCTCTCCTTGGTCCGGATCATCAGTGCTTGAGCCAGGTGCCAGGAGCAGCCGTCGTGAGCTTGTACAAAGAGTCTTGTCGCCTCTTGCGAGCAACGAGGTGGGAACCATTCGCTGTATTGGGCTTAATGTGAGTGCCTCCTTTTGTTGGCGTGCAGTCAGCCGCGTACTCTAACACTTTTGCTGCCAGTATGTTCAACATGCCAGAGAAATCGACGCAGAAATCCCTACGGTGCCCACTGTCTTCTTGTAAGCAAGACTTGTCGGGCCGGGCAAACAATGACTAATGATCTTGGGTTAAAACACAGAAAGCCAAGTACCTCGCTTGCCGATCCTTGGCCAGCACCAACAATTCTGCCAGCTATAACTCAGAGAGATGACTCGGGGGACTATGAGGCCGAGCTTGCCATTATAATCGGCAAAGAATGCAAGAATGTGCCCGAGAACGAGGCCCTGGAGTACGTCCTGGGATATACGGCATGCAACGACATATCAAGCAGAGCGAGCCAGTTTGCGCAGTCGCAATGGTGTTACTCTAAAGGGTTCGATGGATCTTGCCCGTTAGGTGAGTGGTATCCCCTGGACAGAGTTTCTCGACGTACTCAGCTCCCAAGGTCCCACACTGGTTTCCCAAGCCTTGATTCCCGACCCGTCCAAGTTGAGGATTCGGGGTTTGAAGAACAAGCTGGTTATGCAGGACTGTACAACCGAGTAAGTCGGCTGCACTCAGAGATTGAAAAAGGTGCACAAGCTTACCGTGTGCAATAGCGACCTCATTTTCAGTGTCCCGACCCTTGTCAGCTTCTTGTCCCAGGGCACAACTCTACCCGCAGGAACAGTCATCATCACCGGGACACCGGCAGGTATTGGCGCAGCACGTACTCCAAAGGTGTCAATCCGCGAAGGGGATGAGTTCGCGGTGGAGATTCTTCCCCATATTGGAACCTTGTATAATGTTTTCGAAAATGAAAAGTAGGCTAGACTTGCTACTTGTATAGAAGTGTGAGTGACTTGAGAAAAAAAAAGAATCATTGAATTCACGTTGCATCGACGTAGTGGACAGAGAGCTTGTGAAGAGGATTGTGAACTACTTGAACTACTGACGAACGCCACCTACAGCACTTGCAGCAGGCCACTTACAACACTTACAGCACTTATAGCACAGCACTTACAGCACTAGCACTTATAGCATTTACAGCACTTACAGCACGTACAGCACTTACCGCACTTACAGCAGGCCACTCACAGCTTGCTTCAACTGACGGCGAGTGTATGTTGCGTCCGTCTGATACCAAATGAAATATGCCAGCGAACCGGGTAATTCGCGAATGATCAAGTAACGTTCTTATAATGTACTTGAAATTGCGTAAAGTGTTCTACCTCTATTTCGCTGTCACCCAGAGCTTGCCCAGCCGACGAATCTGGCAGCAGGTGGGCAGCCAAGCACCAAGTAAGACTCTTGAGCTCCAAGTTAGTAGTATTCCAGTTACCAACATGTGTTAATCTCATAGATTGTCATTCTTCATTTTGGCCATTACTGGAAGTGCCCTTGCTGGTAATCTGTACAGCTTCCCCTTTCAGCCGCATCTCCATTGTTGTTCACTAGGGTCAATTTAGCCAAATTGCAAGCCTTACTTACTCCTTTCCACCTCGGCGATCCTTTTAGGGGCCGATCAACCGTTAATAAATCTTTGAGTAACCATTTTACGTACTAGGGTCATCATGCTTTGCTTGCCAGAACTGTGCCACCCTATCGTTTCATCGCTCCCATTCGCCACCTTTTCCATGTCGGCCACTGGTGAAAATGGGTCGTTCGATTCATCGTATTAGGCAAGTAGCAATGCTTCTTACCAACTTCCTCTTTATGCCAAGTAGGAGCCCTTCCTGTGAAAGGCTAGCTGGTTTTCGGCAGGCGTCAGCCAAGACTCTGGGGAACTTCGGCCGAACGATACCAAGAGATTAACACTCAGCGAACAAAGCAAATTATTATTTTTTACCTAACGTCTTTACATCGAAGCCATCATACGTGCATATCTCAATACTTCGGACTAGAAGATTACAGTCGTTGGCATCAGGTGCCTAATAGGGGAGGTGACGGAAGCCGACAATGCCGGTATCCTGGCCATGCTGTCTCGACCGGCTTCATACATTCAATCAGCCTGATAATGAGCCTTATAGAAAGTGCCGTAGCTAGATTTGAGCTGTATGAGTATAAAATAGTCACACTACCTGCTTCAGGAGACAGTGTGCCCAAGAAGCATCTTGTCAAGTTGAACTGAATCTAGCCAAATACAAATCGCAAGCATGGTCGCCTGGTCGAGAATCTGTCTCGCTCTTACCGCCGCCAGTGGCGCTTATGCTGCTCCGGCTGCTGCCAATCATGGCCCTCTCTCTCTCTTCAGTGAGATCAAGCAGATCCCCTCCCAGTGGCAGGCGTCTGGCGCCGCGGAGAAGACTGCTTTGATCAAGGGCCAGATTGGTCTCAAGCAGAGCAACATCAAGGGTCTCGAGCAGAAGCTTCTCGACATTTCCAACCCCAGCAGCCCAAACTACGGTAAGTGGTTGTCTCATGACGAAGTTGCCACCTTCACTGCCCCTTCAGAGGGCAGCATCGAGGCTGTCAAGTCGTGGTTGGCCGCCAATGGCATATCCGAGGTCTCTCAGCCGACGAATGAGTATGCTCTTGATACCTGACCGAGAATTTCAACCACTAATATTCTTGAAGCTGGATCGAATTCACTGTTCCTATCCACCAGATGGAGTCGCTTCTCGACACCAAGTACGAATGGTTCACCCACGAAAATGGGGCCCAGATTCCCCGTACGACCAAGTACTCGGTCCCTGAAGGTCTTCACTCCATGATTGACATGATCACGCCGACGACGGCCTTTTACAGCAATATCGACTCTCACGCCCAAGAAGCGGGTGTCACGGCCAATAAGGGCATCCAGCGCCGCGCAGGCTGCCCAAGCAACGGCAGCATGAACCCCAACTGCATCAACCAGCACTACAATGTCGACTATACTAGCAACGGCAGCCAGCTCGTCGCAACCACTGGTCTGCTTGGCCTTGGTGCCAATCATACAGACTATGCCAGCTTCGGTAATGCTTTTGTCCCCAACTTGAAGGACTTCCAGGATGTCACCCTCGGCAATGCACCCAACTCGGGCAATGGCAGTGCCCTCGAAGGAAACCTTGACACCCAGTACATGGGCGGCCTCTCTTACCCCAATCCTAGCGTTTACCTTTCCACTGGTCCTACTGGTTCAGACGCCACTTCCTTCAACGACGCCCTTAGCAATATTGCCAGTTACTTGACCTCTACTTCCAGCCCTCCCTCGGTCGTCTCTACTAGCTGTAAGAATCCGTGCAACGTTTATGCTATAAACTCCGCTAAATATTGATAGATGGCGGTGCTGAGAATGCCTTCGACGGTGACTACATGGACCGACTATGCAACGAGTTCATGAAGATTGGCTCGCTCGGTATTACCCTCACATTCTCAACTGGCGATCATGGCGTCGGCGGTAACGGTGCCAGCAATTGCAACCAAGGTTTCTACGCGCTCTGGCCTGCAAGCTGCCCGTATGTGACTGCCGTTGGTGGTACCCAGTTCAATGGAGACTCGGAGGAAGTTGCCAATTTCTACAAACTCAACAATAAAACCGAGTCCCCTGGTGGCGGCTACTCGTGGCACTTCAGCGCCCCAGACTACAACAAGAACGTCACTGCAGCCTTTGCTAGTTCGCTCCAGGGCTACGACGACTACATCAACGCGAGCGGACGTGGTTACCCTGATATTTCCCTTGTCAGTGTGGGCTACTCTACATATGTCAACGGCAAGGTTCTCGGGGCCCTTGGAACTTCCGCTTCTTCTCCCGCCATCGCCGCCCTCGTCGGTGTCCTCAACGACTACCGCAAGTCCAATGGCAAGTCGAACCTCGGCTTCATCAACCCTCTGCTTTACTCTGCCGCTGCAGCAGACGCGATCCGCGATGTTACTTCAGGAAATAACTTTGGCTGCGGAACCAACGGCTTCTATGGTATGTTTAACAATCTCCATGATGATTTACTCGCTAACCTTTCACAGCAAGTCAGGGCTGGGATGCTGCTAGTGGTCTTGGAACGTTGGACTTTGGCAAGCTTCGCGCTATCATCTAAGTCTGGAATGGAAAGAAGCTCTCTAAGGAAATACATATCCACGACGTAACACATAAAATATATTTAGTGCTCAGCTTTCCAATGTTCTTTGCCTTTTCCACTGTCTTGTCAATCTGCTCTTTGAAACAGAGACAGTGTCTAGATGACGCAGCGCGGAAGACGGACGCCGACAAGCAGCGTCGATGAATGGCTGCGGATGCTCTGGCAGAGGTATAAAATGCAATTTGAAGATGGTTGGTATCTATTGTTTTACTGCTGCTGTTCTTTGGAATCGGCGCTCCGGGCGAGTTGTCTTGGCTCAACCAACAGAGTGCAGGAACCCACCATTGACAAGTGCAGGCGGTACCTCATCGCATGTGTACCGCCGCACCAACGGGTCTCTGGTAACAGATAGAATCGGTAGCTGCGGAACCAATTCCCGAACTGATATCGAAGCCTGATATTTTCCTCCTTAGCATGGCGATTAGGGGCTACAACCTGGAACAAGTACACGTCAAAGATCACAAACCACGCATATCTATTGTTCCATTACAGTTAAATGGTTGACATAAGATAACGCTCGGTGCAAACGGCAAAAAGAGGCAGCGTAATTTTTTTGTCATCGGTGTAGGAGGCAAGGAGGGTCGTGTCGAAACCAGGTACAGCGTTTGCCATCGGGCTATATAGAGTCACGTGGACGCTCATGTGACCTGGAACCGGAATTTCCCGCTAGCCGAATCTGTTCGCTCTGTCTGGCAAAGATTCATGCCACGATCTAATAGAGCTCACCTCACTCCCTCGATCCCAATTGTCCCGCCAGCTCACCATGAACTCTCTCCGTATCGCCCGCGCGGCCATTCGCGCTCGCCCCGTTGCCATGCGCATGGCCGCCCAGCGCAGAGGCTACGCCGAGGCCATTCCCGACAAGGTACATTCATCCTCCATTCCCCCGTGCTTATCCACCATAGCTAACTCGCAAAAAGATCAAGCTGAGCTTGTCTCTGCCTCACCAGGTATAATGAACCCCCCATCTTGATTTCCAGCATAATCCGAACCGATCGAACCGCGCCTCACGGCTCAATTGCGCGCGCCGAAACCTTATTGTTCGGCGCCTCGGAGCGCCGCGGCCCTGCGAGAATTTACAGCAACATATGCTAATTACCTCAACAAGACCATCTTCAAGTCGCAAAACGTCGTCCAGGTCAACATCCCCGCCGAATCTGGCGACATGGGTGTCCTCGCCAACCACGTCCCCTCCATTGAGCAGCTCAAGCCTGGTATCGTCGAGGTCGTTGAGGAGAACGGCAGCACCAAGTCCTTCTTCCGTACGTTCAGCTTTCCACGAAACCAACAAGTCCTTCAACGATGCGATGCGCTTCAGCAACGAAAAGGGGAACGGATTCGAGGACCCGAAAATGCTAACTTGCGTTAGTTTCTGGTGGATTCGCCACTGTTCAGCCCGACTCTTCCCTGAGCATCAACGCCCCCGAGGCATACCCCCTCGAGGACTTCAGCGCCGAGGCCATCCGCAACCAGATTGCGGAGGCTCAGAAGATTGCCAGCGGTAGCGGTAGCGAGCAGGATATTGCCGAGGCCAAGATTGAGCTTGAGGTATGTGCGAGACGAACGATTGGACACGCAGCTTTACAGCTCGTACTGGAAAATTGTGTCACACAGACGTATGCTAACACATTATCACAGGTTCTCGAGACCCTCCATGCCCATGTGAAATAGACTACTTGTTGCATTGGCGGACACCTCCTTGTACATCATATTCCAACGCATTAGCGCATTGCCAGACAATTCATACCTGTCGCGGTGCCATTCAATGTCAACTTAATTCCTTTTGTTCCTGCTCTTGCTTATTTGCTACAGTGATTGCGCCTTGCGTCATTTTTTTGGTGTCGTGTCTACGCGTCGCTCCTGCTTTTTCAATATGCTCCTTCTTCCTTTTGACACGCCACACAAGCTTCGTAGTCGTCGCATCCAAGCAACTCACTTTGCTAATGTCATAGATACCCTCCAATTATTGTCAGCGGACCGTCATCATTACTTTTACGAATATGAAGAGCCCAGATTCGGCAGTCGTGCGTCAGCGTCAGGCAACACCAACTGGAAGCCAGAGGGTCAACGTTGGAAGACGGCGGCCTACCATCCCCACCGGGATCGTCACCACGAGACTGGGGCAGCTGAAAACACTCAACGACGACAATGGAAGCATCATTCGGTACAAGTATGGCAACGGCTCGTCTCACGGCCGCGGCGGTAGAGCCAAGGGCGGCCTTGTGATACCTGCATCGCGCAGTACTTTTTCTCTGCGTGAAACTCCTCGATCTCGGGACGAATCGGACAGCCCACCGGATGCTGATCGCTCTTTGAAAAAGAGGCAAGCCGGCGGCTCGAAATTCGCATTTGGCCCGAGAGCGGTCAAAAGTCAAGATGGTCTAGTTAGTCACGCTCCAGCATCGACAACGGAACACCAAAGACGTCCGCTGCACGATACAACATGTAGGCAGATATTGTGCGATGAGAGAGCCGCGCAGCCAACGACCCCTGGTGAGTATGCAAGCTATTGGGTCAACAGCGATGGAGCGCTGGACGATTCCCTCGGAACACATTTGTGTCATTCCTGTGGCGAGTGGATATCAGTTAAAGCGCCATGTGCTTCCTGTGGCCATGCATTCTGCTCTAGATGTACTGCTGATCTTGAAGGGGACTCGAGCACATCACAGACGCCGACTGGAAATTCCGAAGTGCCAAGTTCGTCAAGTGCTCCGCAGCAACCTAGTGATCAATCCGAGGACCGAGAAAATAATGAAGACGCCGAAAACGATCCATGGAGCAGCGGAAGTCAGAAGCAGGTAACATCAATGTCTTCGAGCTCAAGAACTGTTCCTCGAGCGAAAACTCTCTCAAGCCTCTTTCTCAAGCGCCCTGCACGCCACTGCATTTGCTGTATTGCACGGCAGCCTGCAAGAAGGCAAACAGTGGCAGCGTTGCCTGGTGCTGGCGAAGCCGACCTTTCATCTACATACAGCGGAAGCTCAACAGCGACGCATACTACCGCCAGGTCCAACATGAGACGGCCGGAAACCCCGATTGCAGAAGAGGAGGATTTGCGGCCCGCAGCTCTTCAACCACGCCGAAGTACAGAAGCCAGAAATGCCATTCCGCTCAAGACGAGGTCTTCCGATCCATATTTTGGACTTCGTGCAATGCGACCACACCCCCATCCGCCATCGCCAGAAACGGAAAACTGGCCGAAACTGCGTCAAGTACCGGTATCTTCGAATGCAAGGCCAAATACTCCAAGTGAAGAGACACCGTGGCGGAGTGTTCTGAGGAAGGTTTCGAGGCCAGCTACAGGGGAGCCAGACGTTTACCAAAAGCCTACGACGAAGCCGGAGTGGGTGGCCAATCTCAGGAAAGTACGGAGACAAAGCGCCAAGCCAATATCTCCCAACGAAGAGCAATGGCAACCACCGACCCCTAGCTCGCCACTGAACGGATCAAAACAGGAACGTGCCTACTGCGATGGGAATATCTCCGTATCGGCGAGACCGAGCGAGAGACCTGCGTCATCCAAACATGAGGAGCCCCTTCCACAATGTGATCACAACCGCATTTTGACCAAAAGTCCCAGCTTGGCGTCGCGGATATCTGGAGGCAGTCTGAAGCGGGTCGAAAGCTCGTTGACGAGAAACAGCCTTGCTTCCGAGACCAATAACCCCGAGAAAGCGGAACAACGCCGACAAGCAGATGGAACAACTCCGAATAAGCCTAGAGCTATGACACTGCCTCCGAGGGTCGGCAGACCTCCAAGCATTATGAAAATCCCAGGCCGAGGAAAGTCTCGAGACCAGCACTCGTGCCATTGGAGAGATAGATTTATGGATTTGAGTGCTGAAGTTGACCAATTACGCTCCGAATTGGACACCTGCGAACCCGGAGAGACAAGCTCTGCGCACGAGGAGCAGGATCATGAATGTGACGATGCCGGAATAGACGGGCTAACAGTAGTCATTCATTTAAAAGGGCGAGATGATTTGGTCATCAATACGGACTTGCGAACTTAAAGAACAGTCTCTGGAACGCTTGGGCAGCCGTAGCCAGTGACGACACACGCCAAAGCAACACAGTTACCACAAAGCACAAGACGATAGAAGCTAGAAAGCAATTTAAGAAGTATTCTCCTTAGTAACTATTACCAAAAAATGACTTGCCGAGCTAAGAAATACTGCTGAGATGCAAAAAACAAGGTCCCGCCCGGGCTCGAACCGGGGACCTTCTCGGTGTTAACGAGGTGCCATAACCAGCTAGACCACGGGACCCGAATTGAATGCCGAATTCGTATTCGATGAATGCCGGGCTGTGATATTAACACTATGAAGGTTACAATCATAAGTATCGAGACGGAATGAGTCTGGTTACGATTGGTTCTCGTCGGTTCTCTGTTGGTTTGCTTTATTCCGCACCTAAAGTACTTCACCTCGATTTCGCTTCCACCCATACAGGGAAAAAGGCACGTCGTGGCGTACCTCCACAGTTTGTGTCGAGACACTGATGCAGCACACTTTGCTCTCCCCCCACCCTGTCTTGTTTCCCGTTTTTCACCATGCCGGTATATGAGACCGGAACTTGAAGCAAGAAGCAAACAGACCAGAAGAATAAAAAAGACAACAACTGCGACTGCAACTGCCCGGATCCGCACAGACGGGGTCGAGAATGAAGTTCCTCGAGGCAAGGCCAACAAGAAGAGCAAAAAAAAAGGGACATTTTGGCGAGACATGGGCAGCGGCATGAGACACGAGGCAACACACATGCACACAACAAATCTCAGTCTCTCGCATGCACACACCCGAGATTTTGATCAGTGCTTATTTGACAACACTCTACGCAGGGCGTTTCTGATGTGATGTCACTTGCTTTGCGGACAGCCGCCGCACGAACCAACAACGACGGTCAACCGTTCATGGTGAAGCACTACACCAAGTCTGGCAACCTGTAAAACATGTTTTGTTTTTCTTGCTCCGTCTTGGCCTGAAGGATTCCAAAAAGCAAAAGCAAACTTTCTTCTCTTTCTTTTTTTTTCAACCCTCTTCTTTTACAATCTGAACTTGAACGGCTCCATGCCCCCCACGCCGACGTGCACCCTGAAAATGGCGCCGCCCAGCCTCCTGCTCTCTGTCTCGGCCGTCCCGCCGTCTTCGTCAGCGGCCGTGGTGATGAAGAGGTCCTCGCCGACAAATTGCACGCAGGTGGCGTTCTTGGTAGGAATCGTCACACGCCCCAGGACCGCGCCTGAGCGTCCGTCGACGCGCAGGACCGCGCCCTCTCCGTAGAGCGCTTGCCAGACGTGCCCGTCGGCGTCGACGCGCAGGCCGTCGGGTTCGGCAGGGCCGGTGTGGCGGCGGTGCAGGCGGCCGCTGCTGCCGCCGGCGTCGCCACTCATGGCGCCCGTGGACGCATCGTAGTCAAAGGCGAGGAGCGCGCGCTCCGTCGAGTGCGTCACGTACATGGTGCGCAGGTCCGGCGACCAGCCTACGCCGTTGGGGATGGTGAGCCCCGGGATGATTTCCTGGGCCGATTCGCGCGTCAAGAGGAAGAGGCCGCCTTGAGAAACGGAGGGGGGTGCATGTTAGCCTAAGTCATGGTAAACGTAGCAAAGAGAGAGAGAGACTTGGCGGACAGATGGTGGGAGAGGAATATCCAAATATACACACCTTCAGGCTGAAACGAACCCAGGCCGAAATCTGTCATGGTGCCCAGCAGAAACCGCCCCAACGGATCCGCGCAGCCGTCGTTGGCGCGCAGGCGCTCATTGGGCGGTTCGTGAAACGGCACCAGCATCTCGTACTGGCCGCGGCCGCCGCGCACATCGAGAATCGCCAGGCCGTGCTTGACGCCGACAACAATGCGGTCGCGGGGGTCTAGGCCGTGCACGTCGGCCGTGACGGTCGGACACACGTCGAGCTGCACGACCTCGGGCGGCGCGGCAGCGGCCGTCTTGTTCTCCGGCGCGCTGACGTTGCGAAAGTAGAGAATCTGCTTCTTTTTGATGTCGACGAGGCGCAGCGAGTCCGTCTCAGCCTCGTAGAACGGACCCTCGCCGAGGGCGCAGTGTGGTTCCGCCCATGGCGCGCTGACCGTCCATTCTTGCATGACGCCCATGGTATTTAATCAATTGGAACAAATGTGGGTGTTTTGAGCAGAGATAAAAACGCCGTCGTAGGAAAAAAGAGAAGAGGTGAGAGGATTGAATGTGAGTGACGGGAAGTGATGGAAGAAACTCGGTATGTCAGCTTGCGGGTGCTGCGGGGAAGCTCCGGGCCGCAATGCCATGTATTACGGAGCCGGACTTGATGGCCGGCCGCAACATAATCAGACCAGCCGCAGTATCACACATGCAGGACTTTATTCTTAGTCCTTGCCGCCAGAGCAAGAATGATTCGTGACCATCCAAAAAGCCGCGTCGTCGATTAGCATGTCTTTCGCGTCTTGCACGCGCTCAACGTAGGCTGATGCTACTGTGGTGCAGGAATAGCTGGACTTTAGGAGCTATGTGGTATGTAGATGGTAGATGAGTATTGTAAGTGGAGGGGAGAATAATAGTTGAATAGGTTGGGTGTTTAATGTGGCAAAGATCCGAAGCAACTAGTCCAGTTTCTCCAGAGCTAGTGCCGGCATTGGGACAGCGATTTTTGTCATGGTCCTTGAATTGTCTTGGGTACAATGTAGGCATTAGACAACTACACCGCCGCCCACGTACTAAGCGGCGTCATTGTGAATGTCGATGTCAATCTGCGCGGCCACGAGTCTAGGCATCTCTTCCATGCTGCCTGCCACACCGACCTACAATGCCGGGTTGAATACAATACGGGTGGTGATAAACTCTCCGCGTAACATATCGTGGCCATATCCCGGAGCAGCAGTTAAGAATAGTCGCTGGCAGGAAATCTGGATCAGGGGGAAAAGGACAGCCTCGATCGCAGCCACCAATGGTTAGCCAGTGACCCTCACGGCCGTTTTCTGGTGGCTTGACACATCGGAGATCAAAACGACATCAAAATGGTGATTTTCCGGTTTTCTTTTTGGTAAAAAAGAAAATAAGAAAATAAGCCACCATCAGAGAGTTTGAAACATTACCGTGGGTCTGGTTGACTGTGCGACACGACTGTCACTGGTGCTCAGCCTCGTCGCAAGCTCTTTTTTTGCTTGTAGATCTTGGTCGCACATAACGCTCATTTTTTATGGTGTTGAAGTGCTCGACTGCTGTGCAACTGAGACAGTGACAAGTTGACGTTGGGTGCGTGATAACTGTGGGCTTTGTCATCTTTTCGTTGGGACGAAACGAAACAAGTGTCAAAGCACACAGACTCGGCATCTGTGCTGGGAGGAAGGCTGGGAAAAGCTTCGCCACACCGATTTTCGCACCGAGCGTACTTGCTGGTATCCCCAGGGATGCAATACATGCATGGGTCAATACATCCCTTGCATACACTCCGTACTCTCGGAGCCTATTCCGGGGGGGTCAGGTAAGTAGGTAGGTACGGTGACGGTGTCTTGCAGTTTTTGGCTCTCGTGATTGCCTGTTTGGTTTGCGAACGGGCAACACAGTTCTGTCTGGACGGGCTGTCTGCTTCACGTGGCCGTCTTGATATGCGGCAGCCCAGGCTCAGAGTTTCTGCAGAAGGGCCGACCTATGCCCGCAGAATTGGCATGAGGAAAAAGGCCACCCACACTTGCAGGTTGGTGGCGTGCGAGCGACTGGCTCATTTGCTGCAATCGCTCTCCATTCTCCTTGGTCGTCTTCTGTTCACTGATCAACGGGAAGCGGATTGTGTGGCAATGGGTCAACTTCAGTCGACGACGACATGATGCGGTGTGGTGGTCTTGCCACTTTATTCGGCTAGCGTGAGAGGCATTGTGGCATCTGTATCCGTACTCCGTACTTGTGAGCTTGGCAGAAAGAAAAAAAGTATTCGCTGACCCGTAGACAGCTGCCCACGTCGACAGTTGAGATGGAGCAGACTAACTGCTGGTGGGCCATGGCTGCCGGCATCAGCGGCCCGTTGCTGCAGAATGCCCAGTGCATATTCAAACGGGCTAAAAAGATGACGAGATGTGTGTACGCCGCGCCGCGCCGCACCGCACCGCACCACGTCTGCATGCTGCTGGTGCTCGCTTCTCCGCCGCCCGCAGTTGTGTTGGGCATCAAAGCCCGGCATGTACGAGTAGCCCGGCTGCCACGCCACCAATAATAGACTGCTGAGGCTTGGTCTTGACCCATTGGGTCACCGCCACGTCGATTGACCGAGTTTTTGCAGAAACCACTTGTTGCGGCCCCCCAACCTCCAAATAATTGGATATGCTCGCTGATGACAGGGTTGCCGCACCACGGTCCATGGCCTGCCAGTCTTCCCAGTCTTCTGTCCTCCCGGCTCCAAGGTTGTTGTACCAGTACTCAGCACTCAGTACTCAGGAACTCAGGAATACGCCATGACAATGGCCCAGTACTGCGCGCGGGCAAACTTCTCCGGTGCTCGTGTCACGCTGTTGCTCTCATTGGCAGTATACTGCTAGTTAAGGTGGCCAGCCAACATGCTGTGCTTGACCGACTCCGGCGTGTCCAGCCGGGCACGCATCTGTGTCAGTATGTACGAGCGAGGTAGCTCACAAGATGCAGGCTACAGCCAGTCCGGGGTGCCAGTCTCCAGAACGGCTGATGGGCCTTGTCCCGCCCGCTGCCACTCGCCCAGGGTTCGTGGCGCCTGCATGAACCAGGGCGATGGACGGTGACCCGTGCTTGACAGTGCCCGCAGTGCGCAGAATATCGGAGAGGGCTGCCAGCCGCTAATCATGCACGCCATATGTTATTCTGTGCTAGGCGCTTTGGGATGACCTGGAGCCGGCACATCTGCGGTGATCTGTTTCTGTCCGCATCCTTGTCAGCGGCTATGCAGGAAGACATCCAACATCCAACAGACGTACATACATATCAGTGCTGGTAGTCATCTTGCTCTTCCTTTCTCACCAACGTTAGAGAGGCGCAAAGAAAAAAATACCCGCCTGATGTGATTTGTGCCAGTCCACCAAACCCTTCTCGCTCAAGCTTGAAATCCTGTCTGTCTCTCGCTTCGGGGCGGAAAGCGGAAGTTGGCCCGGGATGAATCTTGCGCAATGACCGGCGCATGCTCTTTTTTTCATATCCAATCATGGGTTCAGGATTGTGATTGGTTTGCAAGGGTTCCGCGCAAACTACCGCCCATTAATAGAACAATTGGGGGCGGGGATAACAAAATTAACTTCTCCAAGCTTCTTTCAGCTGCAATTGCGGATTCAACGGCGGATAAACAATAACTACTTCGCCTTAGCCCTGCCTGGCATGCCATGCCAATGCACAATGCATGTGTCCAGCCAAGATTGACACAGATTAGCCCTGGCCATCCCTTCGTGCTCAAGTGTCGCAGATAGATACACGGAAACATTTGACTGCAGAGCCAAAAGATCATTGCTGATAAGGAATATCTACTTAGAAAGTTAGCGGTCTACAGGTCCGTCTAGGTAATGGCCAATAGTCCAACGACTTACCAGGAATAAACTCATCTCCACTGTAGTGGAGCGTGATATCACGGAAGCACGGCTCTGCGTGTAATTAAACATGTGCCCATGCAATGGAAGTATGCGCCAAGTGTTCTGTGATTTCTTGCAGCCATATCCTAGCACGGAAAAATCGACTGGCGAGCAAATCACACTGTACTGGTAGCCGCCCCTCGCGAAGTGTCAGGCAAAAGCGTTCAACAAGCACCGAGATGTGCTTCACTGCAAGATGCTTCTTTGTAACTTCTAGTCATTGACCTAGCAGTTGACTGGCAAGAAGTTGATTCGGAGCCGACTTCGTAAAAGCTTGGAAGGCCGAACAAGCGAGGTTAATCTGCACCAGGTGTCTTTGATGTGAATCAGGCTATCCTGCTCAAAACTCAGGATTTCGACGCTACAAGAGAGTGTGGCCATGCTTAAATTGGCTGCAGGGAGAGATCTTGCAGACACCCCTGCCAATTGAGATGATGGCCGCCAGAGACGAAGACCGCGAACTGAAGACGGCGCATATTCGCGGATGAGTCAGCCAGTAGAGTCGTTATATCATGAGGGTGTGATGGAAATTCCTTGTCATCCGCACACCTCCCTGTCCTCATTTAACATTTCATTTCCTGGGCCTCCAATTACAGGCCCTGGTTCATTGCCCCAAAGTGCTGTTGGTACGATGTTAGAGTAACAGCTGCTCGTCATCTCCAAATACCCCACTCATTAGATCCTGGTTCGTGACCGTTTGCGCCGAACGGGGTTCCATCTAGATAGGAACCTGTAGAGTGATCAGGATAGAAGTGGTCTGTGGACGGAGCGCATGATAGCGGGAAGCTTCAAGGGTGAGTCTGCTGCCAAACTTTAAGCAACCAATAGATAACTTCTCCGCAACATTACCCGTTGGTCTGTGCACAAGGGCAGTAGAGAAGCTGTCGAAAATTTCGGATGGTGCAGATATGTCGCCTCGGAGCAGTAGTTCTCGAACAAAGCATGGGTTCAGTTGCCGTAATTACACTGCAGAGATGGCGCCGCCTAATGACGCGCATCAGCATGAGGCCCTGTGCATAATTATTACCATGTTGGCCAGGGCACGGCTCAGCAAACATCGACCTTGGGGAAAATCTGTAAGTACCCTGTCGACTTGATGTCATGTGGCCAGAGCATTGCTAATAGCAGTCTCGCTAGAATACGAGTTAATACAAGTGTTGTATTGTGAAGTGGCGCACGAGGGTTCCTTGCTTCGGTACCATGGCAGGTGAATCGACCAGGTAAATTCTGTACTAGGCGGGGCCATCGAGCCACTGTCGTTGTCTGTCTGTCTGCCCTTGTTGGCCTTGGGTGCACGAAAGCGAAAAACTAAGAAAGACCAGGCATAGTGCGACGAGGAATCCATGTAGCCAAGAGATGGACTGGTGCTTGGACCAACTTGCTGTTGCCAGCCACCAAGTGAGGCCGGTGAGTTTTTCGGGATGAGTCTATCGCGGAAAGAGTAGGTCACATTGTATTACTCCGTACGGATATGCATCCAGTCATATCACCCGCCGCCTGCATACGAAGTAGTACCGGATTCACCGTCGTGCCGTGTACTCCATTTGCCTTTTTGCATCTCGCATAGTAGTAGTCGTGGCCAGAACGGTGTAGATTCTTGAAGTATCCGTCGTCGTTAAAGAAGCGATTGCATTGAGTGGGGGGGTTCGCGCCATGGCCCATCTCCGTTGCGAAGCTTGAACATATCAATGGCTGACTGGCTTTGTCCGCACAGCTCAAAGTAAACTCAACGGGTAACTAGAGGGTTTTCTCGGTCGAGAAGATTCAACAGGAGTCAAATCGACCAGACAGGGTTGACGGGTCGACGAAGACAAGGTCAGCGACCCACGTCTCCTCTTCTCTCTTTGGCATGCAGCTTTCTTTTTCGGGGTTCTGTGTTGCGCTTTTCGGATGCATTGGGGGAGCGGGGAGCGGACGGACTTGCAGGGGCCAGCCACCAGCCCACCATCTTGCAGAGGGCGTGCGTTCCCGACCGTGTGGGCGGGTTTTGGGCTCCAACGCCAGGCCGCAAGGTGCGCTAGCGAGCCACTGAAGTTGACTCGAGCTGTTGCGGCCGGGGTTTGCAATCGAGTCGGGCGTCGTGGTGATGGGAGCGGTGGAGGGCGTGGTCGAGGTTGCAGACGCGACAGGGTCGGCGAGCCGTCCGTTGACAGGCCATCTGCAGCCTGCAGGTAGCAAGTTCAAGGTATGCGATTGGGAGGGCGGGTGAGTATTGATCTCGGACTGCAGCATGCAGGCGCACGCGTGCATGGCCGTCTTTCTTTTTTTTGTGACAGGCCAATGCCGGAACTGACGGTGCTGGTTGGCTGTCATGGCGGAATTGCGAGCGTTTCAATCGAGCTTTGCCCTCTAAGAGTGCTACACCGGCGCAAGTGAGGTAGTTGAAACCGTACATGGTTGTGTTCTGCCTGTGGACATGATGAGTGAGTGGTACGCATATGGCAATCAAGTACTTGCCCTGAGTATCTACTAATGGTCATGATGGATTCATCACAGCAGCACAAAGCCCAAAGCACCCCAGGCACCCAAGCCAGGTGGCATCACGGCATGGCATCTGCAGCCACAACTAACGAGCTGCGAGCGTCAACGTAGGTGATTGCTGCCAGCAGGCATGCAACAAACAGCATGTGCAGGCAGCAGCGAGATCGCCACGCAGCCAAGGACAGACGTGGATGCAGGCTTTGTTGTTAGTTGGGCCATTGTGCATCGATGCCACACTGGGCGGGCGAGTCAGGCTGAAGGGGGAGAATGCGGTGGTTCAACGATGATGAGGTTTTCCTTTTAGTCTTGAGACGTATTGTGATGATGACAGCTCGCTCAACGCAGATGGCAGATTCAATCCAACATGATGCGTTTGTTTGGTACTTTGTAGGTGCCTAGAATCTGTATGTGCAGGACACGCTGGGCGCCTCCACCCAACAGCCTGGTGCCTACTAAGGTAGGTCTGTTCGTAGGTACTAAGTTATTACAGGCACCAGGCTCAAGGTCACCGGGAATTGATACGTTGCTCGCTCGCTGCTGCCTTGAGCAAATGATCAAATGATGAATATTAGCTAGTTATGGAACTGAACCGGCTTGGACCGGTCCACGTCCGAGGTTTCTGTAGACGAGCTGCAGACCAGCAAGGCATCTATGTATACCTAGATTGGTACCTGGTACTAGGTAGTCATATTTACCGGGCAGCAGGTCTGTTGCATGTTTTAGAGTACTTTATTAGCGCTGCGAGCAAGTGCATTAGGGCCATTCTTTAGCAGACCAATGTACCGGAGCAGCCTAGTACGAGGTATGAGGTACCTACAATCTCGGTACCTTACCTGCTAACTCGTGCAGATACCTAACCCTAAGCAAAATGCGGACAAGACAAACAGCCACATCTTGTCAGCAACAAGCAAGCAGACAGACAAGCAACAAGACAACAAGCCAAGCAAGCAAGCAAGCAGAGAGATAACGTTAACTATTAAGTACCTATGTAGCAAGCACAGCAAGCACCAGTGCCAACTTGCAAATCATCAACGCCCAGACCCGGCAACATGGGCCCGCCCAGGACTCCTTGCCCACACTGCCACCAAGAGAAACACCCGGAAAAAACATCCCAGCCAGCCTCATTGCCACCCTCAGCAGCAAGCAATCCGTTTCTCCCCTTGGCTTGGCTACACCTACCATTCGCGTCCCTCCCCTCTACGGATACCCGTACTCCGTTCTCTGCACGCCACTACGCTACCATGAACGCTAACGTAGCTCCCTAGGTCCCTTGGTAGCCCGCTCGCCCGCTTGCCCCCGATTCAACACGTCTTGCAGAAGTCAGTCACAGCTCCTCCTACGGAGTTCTGCCCACCGCCTCGTCTCTTTTGTGCCTAATCTTGGGTCGACGCTGACCACAGCCCAGCCGCAGCGCGCGTGCGCTATGATACAAACCTGTCCTCCATCCTCCCCCCCCCCGTTCCAATAAAGCCACCAGCTCTTCGCGAGCCCTCTTGGCCCATCGCCTCGGGTCGCTTCCGCCAATGCTCCATCCCTACTAGTCAATGTCCATCACCTAGAGGGAGGCTGAGATAGCGCGCAGCTTTCCGCCAGTTGCCAATTGGCAATGGCGCCCAAAATTCCCCTTCGCCAGCGGGGCCCATGACCTGGCCCTTTCCCTTGTCGCTAACCTCTTGTTGTTCGCTGTTCCGAACGACCCTGCGTGCCAGCGTGGCCAGCCCCCGGTGCCGATGCCGCGCTGTCAATCGCCATTGGGAACAATGACGAGACAGATACGAAGAAGGATTCGAAAAAAAAAAAAAAAAAAACATAGCAAAAAAGAATATGCCTGCCCAAGCTTCCTTCATTCGTGCCACTAACTAGTTACAGTATGTAGCTCAACCATCCAACCATCCAAACGGGACAGCTTGATCGGCGCTGTCTCCTCCAACGTTACCAGATAATACATGGGTATGTCCCCTGTCCATTGCTTGCTAGTATTTGCTCTTGATTTCGCCCGCCTTGGTTTTTATTCCCACCAACTTGGCTTGACAATCCTGTCGCTGCAAACTGTACTAATACATGTCCAACAGTCAGTCTGATACCATGTTCCTCTGGAGATGGGTAGCCTGTTAGCCTTGCCAGGGGAGGATCCGTGGAGGGGGGGAGGGGTGTCACCATGTGTGTGTGGGCGTCCATGATGTGAGCATGTATGTATGTACTCTAATGTACTCCATGGACAGAGTACCGTGGTCCATATGGACCATGCCACTTCATGTGCGCTAAACCCCTCTGCTCTCGTGGTGATGAGATCAGTTGCTGCTTGACAAGCCATCCTTCCCACCTTTCCACCCCCCCTGCTTCTCGGCGGGCTCGTTGGAGAAAGTTGCGAGAGACCCTTGTCCCAATTGATCCTGGCCGCCCGGTTCCCTCTTCCAAAAGAAGCTTGCTGCCAAATATTCTCTCTTCTTTTGTCCTTGTCCTCCCTTGACTCTTGCTTCGCAGGATCCGTGAACTTTTGGGGCTTTGTCTTTTACTACAGCTGACTTGGGACTTGTTCTTGCTCGTATCTCTGCTACGTACTGTCCATCGCACGCTTTGCTGCTAGACTTGAATAGGTGGGAAAGCTGGCATAAACGATCAGGCCAACGACGCTGTCACTCAACTTGCCTCCGGAGCGCCGCGTTAGCCTGCGTCTCTTCCCGCTGTCCCGTCCTGTTATATGGTCCGCTCTCCCCTCCTCTGCCCAGCCGCCCTAGTTGCATCTTCAACGTCTTGAATCACACTTGCGATTTACACTCCTCTGATAGTAAGTTGGACCATGATATCACTAGAGCGCTTCCGGGGTGCTCGCGAATATCATCTCCGCGGCCAGTCTTGCCCTCGATGACCTTTGGCGCCCAAGCAGTTCAAAGAGGCTATGCGCATCCCGATACAATCATCAACTATGACGATACTAACCCCAAGGTAGCCTTGCGTGGCAATTTCTCTTCCAAATAGGTCCATCGTTGTATAGGATTCTTTTCGCATCTACACAGTTCCTTTTGATATTCGATATTCGAACCGCAGCCCTGTCGTTTGGCACTTCTTCGTCGCAGTTTCGTCCTTCCTTGGGAATCAGTCCATTGCTACTTGCGATAGCCTTTCACAACTTGAGATTTACGACAACTTCATCGGCGAAACCTGCTTCCTAGCTACAAAGACCAAAGACACGGGCAGAAACGCTACTGTGTAGGTGCTGACAGCCACTTCCTCCCTCCCAACGTCTAGCAACATCATTGGGACTCGTTGGGTGTGCAACCCGAACCAGTCCCAGGCCGCCACGGACACACTGGCGAACTCAGCGTCCAGCCTGTGGCAGCAGGCACCGCCCGTGAACCCAAGCCCTGGCACTGCCGCCGCTCTCGACTCGTCAACAGCAACAACTCCAAACTCGCCTAGAACGCCAGTTACGCCTCCTTGGTCAACCAAGCATATTGATCCCGAAATATCGCCAAATAGTGCTGCCATCCGCGGGCTGATTGGATCCTCGGAGAGTCAATGTGCGTTCGCTAAGGGCCCCGGAAACGTAGGGCACCAGGTCTCGATGTCACATAAGGGCCCAGCTCGTCCTGCGTCGCATCCATCGGTGGCCTCTCCCGTCAAGTTTGAACAGGTCTCTCCTCACACTCGTCCGATACAACCCAGTCGCCAAGATGTGCCTCACAGCCAGGGAGGGGTGGCGGGAAATGGTCAACTGCCTGCGCCGAATCAACAGGTCAAAAGTCTTGGAATGTACAGCCTTTTGAACCCCGCGGGGTCACCAGCAGGTACTCGAGAGGTAGAGGCCCGAGGACAGCATTGGAACGATTCGGAACACCCAGCAAGGATGCACGGCTCAGCGCGGCCGGGAGGAAACGCTCATGGAGATGTGCCCTCTGCGTCTCTGCCGGGCACACCAGGAGCAGGTGGCATGACACCGTCCAGTAGGCCGGCTATATCTGAAAAGACGTCGCCGGTCATGGCGTATCCATTTCCAGCAACAGGCCAGAAGAACCCCTCAAACCCCAACTCGATCCATGGGAACGCTACTCGCGAGCCTGACGCACGAACACCACGATTTCACCAAGTGACTGGATCCAAACGACCATTTTCATACTCTGGCGATGGGCCTCTAGAGCTAAAGCATCCGCCGTATAGCCATCATCATCCTTCGAATAGTCTTCCAAATACCAGTACAATGGTTTCTCCGCTGAAGGCTACTGCGCAGCCAGTTCGACAAATCGATACGCGGCATCACATCACTGGCCCAGCGCCACCAGAGGACTATCAGCGACACTCAGAAGTACAGCATCATCCTCGTCCCCACTCGCATTATCATCAAGGCCATCACGGTGCGCCTCACCCTACTCCTCAACAGACCACGGCAACTACTGAGGGCGGATCAGCTTGGCCGGACATGATGCGACGCTCAGGGATGGGGGGCCCTAATCTCAACTCGGACGGCCAGCAAGCCTACATGACCTTGCCTGGTAGTGAAATCCCGATTACGGTCCAAGTTGACTATTCCCAGGCGTCAAAAAAGGCGGACGAGAAGCGCCAGCGAAACGCAAAGGCCTCGACGCGGCACCGTAGGAAAAAGAAGAATATTCAGGAAGAGAATATTCGCTTGTTGCAGGATATGAAGGACGACCAGGAGGCAATGGCTGACCAGATCACAAATCTGCAGCGCCAGCGCGACTTTTACCGTGAAGAGCGCAACCGCCTCAGAGAAGTTGTCCTACACACACCCGCCATCAGCCAGCATGCCTCTGGACCGCCGAGCCCGGTTTCGACCAGAAGTGTCAATTCGTACGCGGATCACAGCCCTCTCGGGGGCCAGTCACGAGTGCTACATACACCGAATCAAGGGTATATCAGTGAAACATCGTCTGTCGAGCGGCCAGCGCAGCGACGGAGAACCGACGATCGGCCTGAATACTCTACCAACTATTCTACACAGTCTGGACCGCCGCCGACGACGCTTCCTCCCATGCATTCTCACGGACAGAGCATGCCGCCTCGGCCCATGACGGCACACCCGACGACGCACCAGGAGAGACTTCCGCCGCTGCGAGCCATTGATGGGCCGCCTCCCCACGAGATGCATGCAGGACATCCCACGCACGAGAGGGACCCAGCCACTGGTGACTGGCGAGTTACGCAGGGGAGGCCTTACGAAACCGGCTGGGCTACCCCTCGAAACATTGACACGCACCCACGATGATGTGGTTTCGCGGCCAGCACGACAACTTGCACATGGGGGCATTGCGCCGATGCCCTTTGCTCATCGCCCGACATTCCTAACCCATACAAAAATTATTTAATTTACGAACGAGTTTATATTCACCACTTTCACTCCTTTACATAGGCAGGCAATGTCTTTCCAAGTACGGGATACGGAGTCATTCGTCGGGCACCCGACTCGCGGACTGCATTGCGACTGCGATTTCTTTTGTGGGCTTGTGGTTGTTTTTTATGATTTTTTCTCTGGATTTTGTATTTGGTTCTATTGGTTCAGCATCTCTTTCTACAAATGTATTTTGGCTGTGCTGGAGTTGAAAAAGAATGACACGGCTACAAGGGCGGAACACTCCGAAACTGAGACGGCACGAGGGCAAACCTCACTCTTCAAAGTACTTGTTATTACCCCAGGACTGGTGGTCTGGCTTGACGAACATTGTTCGAATTTTTTTATAGCTGTTTTTATTGGCGTCCATTCGTTGCCACGAAGCCAAGTTCACACGAGGCTTTGTGCGCACCGTTGGAATACATATACCCGATGGATTTTGGAATGTGGTTTTGTGTGTTTTTCTTTAGCGAGCGAGGATACCTGGAGCGGCCCCATTACAGATTGATACCTTGCCAAGATTGAAAAATACCCCCGAAAATATATATTTGTTGCTTAGTACTCCTTTGCCCCTGACGCATGCAAATCGGGCTGTGCCAGAGGGTGCACCTGGCATGGTGGCATGCGTGTGACAGAAGACCCAGCCACACAGATAGAGAGTCTACATGCTGTACTGAAAAGACTGAAGAGATATCAAATCTAAGCATATGTCTCCTCTGAAACTGCCTAGTCTAGATTCTGCCAGGAAGCCAGGCAAGTGGCAGTCGGCGATGTATGTTGTTGGAGGGGATCTATATCAGGCAAAAACTACAGCAACGAGAAGGAGATCTCAAGAAAGCAGACAATATCTAGCCTCTTATTCTACCTAGTATCTATAAGGACCAACTAAATCACCTGCAGCCAGCCAGTAAAGTCTGTCGCCAGCCAATCCATCAGTCAATCCAATCAGCTCATCAATCCCTAGTTATTCGGCCAGTCAATTAGCCAGGTAGCCATTTCACCAGTCAACAGCACTGGCGAAAATGCTGGCGAGAGCGCCGGCGAGAGCACGACGAGAGCTTCCTCGTCGGTTCAATCGGCGGCTGGCTGAATCGCTGGCTGGCTGGCTTGTTGCCAGGCTTGTCAGTAGGCTAACAGTTCCTAGACATCTTCATCAGGCCGTGTTTCTCAAGCATTGTCGACTCAATGGGCCCTTCCAACAAGAAACTTCCCATTAACCAAGAGGACAGGTGGCCAGCGTCGAAATTGGACCATACGTCACCAAAAATCAATATTTGCCACAAGAAGATGCCAGAAAGATGCCCTCGGATTGACTCTTTGGCTGTAACCTTATGGACCCTTGCTTTTGTTCTTGACTTAGAAGGAAGCTAATTCCCCAGAAATCGGGAAGTCAAAACTGCCCTCGAATTGACTTTTTTTGCTGTAGCCTTATGGACCCTTACTTTTGTAAAAGGAAGCTAATTCCCCAGAAATCGGGAAGTCAAAGCTTATTCCAACTTCCCTTCCTGCCTCTTTGCTGCTCACAGGAGAAAGTCAATTCAAAGTTCATTCCCTTTTCCCACTGCCTTTTCTGCCTTTTCTGCCTCCTTACTGCTCACAGGAGAAAGTCAATTCAAAGTTCATTCCCTTTGCCCACTGCCTTTTCTGCCTTTTCTGCCTCTTTGCTGCTCTCACAGGACAGAGTCAATTCCAACTTCCATTTGCTTCCATTCAGTAAAAAGTCAATTCAGGGTTTATTCCAACTCCATTTGCTACGTAGATGCCAACAACACCGCCAGTGAAGCGCCATCAGGACACATACCGAAACAAGGGTGCCTCGTAGCTGGGAAGGCCTTCCCTTTGCATTCTCTCACTCCAGCACTGTCGATGATAATCTCATACGATAATCCCAAATCTCCTACTTTCTAGAGTCTTGGGAAGAGGCAACCAACCCAGTATGGGACCTGCCACCTGTCCCGCCGGCATATTATGCCTTCGCCACGCGAGGTCTCGCCTCAGAGTCGGGTTTCCCAGTCGCGGTATAGAGGGAAGAAACTTACGAGTACAGCTTCATGGACCAATTCCATTTTTTTCGACATGGTTTTCAAAATGTCCAGCAACTTCAGAGTTCCAGGCTTGAGGCCACCAATGACTCCAACAAGGGTCGTCCAACACAATACTATATTTAGCACATTATGACAGCTGATATCTAATGAGGCTACAGGTTCGTACAATTGGCGTTGTTCCAGGCCTTCGAGGCCCGAAAGAGGCGGGAACATGCTTCGAGGCTGTGGCCGCGGCCCGCTGATGACTCTGCTCTGTGGCAAAGGCCAATTCTAGACGAGAGAAGCTTCCGCTTGACGACAATTACGTTTAATCTACCATAGCTGAGTTCAAGTGCAAACTTGGTGTCGTCTTGGATAGATGACAGTAGACAGCGGTGGAAGCCAGAGCCAACCAACAAGGGAGGCGCATGTTACTTCGACCAAAACGGATGAGCTTTGAGCAGCAACTCGGCCGCGTGTCTGGTTATACGAGCTCGTTCTCCCCGAATCTCTGGCTCTTTAATTGCATGAGAACTGCCAGTTTGCCGTTTCAGTCCCAGCGTCGAGGTTCCCCAGGAACGTAGCAAAACTCAATTGATACAGACTCATCCGTCACCCGCCGTCACCACGTAGCTACCTTTTTGTATCTTACTTTGCAAAGGTAGAATTCAATTGTGCAAACTCTCTTCAAAAAGTCTTACGTTCCTTTGACTCACTCAATCTTTCTTCGAGCCCAGAAATGTTATAAGTGTGCGCTCCCCCCGTCCATCTCAATTGAATTGTCCTGTCCCATCTCAATTCAATCCTACCCTCCATTTCAATCCACAGTTTCTCTAACCACTTCACTATTCTACTGTCTTGCCCAAAGATCATTCTTGATCTCAAGTCCTTTGCACTTATCACACTTCTACACACTACCTTCTCAAAGATCATTCTATCTCAAGTCCTTTGCACTTATCACACTTCTACACACTACCTTGTCAAAGATCATTCTCTCAAGTGCTTTGCACTGATCACACTTCTACACTATACCAACTTCTCACTACTCTATCTGTCAGCCCTAGACAGCACTATACCTCTACACTCTACCTTGTCAAAGATCATCTTCTCAAGTGTTTTGCACTGATCAGACTTCTACACTATACCACCTTCTCACTACTCTATCTGTCAGCCCTAGACAGCACTCTGCCTCTACACCCTACCTTCTCAAAGATTATCCTTGCTCTCAAGTGTTTTGCACTGGAAACAATGTCTGGATTCAACCAAAACCAGAACATGGGCTTTGACTCAAACTGTTTCGGCTCAGGCTTTCTCATGGATCAATCCTTCCAGAATCAGAATACAGTCCCAGATTTTGCCATGCAAGGACAAGATTTTGCCATGCAGGGACAAGATTTGGCCATGAATCTATCGTTCCCTTCTAACGAAGCCATGCTTGGACAGCCTACCTACACTCAACAGCCTGTCTGCGCTCAACAGAATTTCTTGCTCCAGCAGCCTGTCTGGGTCCAGCAGTCTGCTCCTATCAATCAGCAGGCTGGCTTTTTTCAGCAGCCTGCTCCTATCACTCAGCAGGCTGGCTTTTCTCAGCAGCCAGTGTTGCTCCAGCAGCCTGGCTTGCTCCAGCAGCCTGACTTCCTCCAGCAGCCTGGCTTTTTTCAGCAGTCTGCCTCTATCGCTCAGCAGCCTGGCTTTTTTCAGCAGTTTGCTCCTATCAATCAGC